ATTGATGTGGTCAATTATGTTGATCATTTTCCTAATATCGAACCAGCCCTGTATTCCAGATATATGTCCCACCTGGTCATAGTGTGCAATCTTTTTGATATATTGCTGTAATCTCCTTGCTAGTATTTTAATTTAAAATTTTTGGATTAATATTCATTAGTGAAATTGTCTATAGTTTTCTTTCCGTTTTTGCTCTTTCTAGTTTAGCTATCAACACCATATTTGTGTTCTAAAAAGAATTTGGTAAGACTCCTTTACTTAACCAAATAATTTATATATTGGAATTAACTGATCTCTAAATGTTTTGTAGAATTCACTTGTGAATCCATCTGGTCCTGGGGATTTTTTCCTTAGGGAGCTCATTGATGGTTTGTTTAATTTCTTTTTTAAAGATAGGATTAAGTATTCTATTTTCTTTTCTGTTAATCTGGCCAATTTATATTTTTGTAAATATTTATCCAATTCCTTTAGATCGTCAGATTTATTGGCATATAATTGGACGAAATAGCTCCTAATAATTGCTTTGATTTCCTTTTCATTGATGGTGAATTCACCCTTTTCATTTTTGATACTGGTAATTTGGTTTTCCTCTTTTTTAAAAAATCAAATTAACCAAGTATATCTATTTTATTGATTTTTTTTCATAAAATCAGCTCCGTTTTATTTATTATTTCAATGTTTTTCTTTCAATATTATTAATTTCTCCTTTGATTTTCAGGATTTCCAATTTGGTGTTTAATTGGGGATTTGTAATTTGTCCTTTTTCTAGATTTTTTAAAAGCTGCATTCCCAATTCTTTGATCTGCTGTTTCTCCATTTTATTGATGTGAGCTTTGAGAGATATAAATTTTCTCCCGAAGTACTGCATTGGCTGCATCCCATAAAATTTGGTATGTTGGCTCATTGTTGCCATTCTCTTTAATGACATCATTTGCTTTTATGATTTGCTCTTTGACCCAGTCATTCTTTAGAATTAGATGATTTAGGTTCCCATTAATACGTCTGCCTTTCTGTACCCACGGGGAGGTCAGTTTTCACGTAGATGCCTTGTACCGCTGACATAATGGTAGACATTCCTTTGGCAGCCACTTTGTAGCTAGAGATGTAGGAGGAGGTGGTGTCTAAAGGAAGCGGGCTGGAGGACGGCCCGAGGAGCCGGCCTAGGAACACGCCCCCAGGGCACGGCTCCTCTCCGGAGGCCCCGCCCCACGCTCGCGAGGGGGTGGGGCTTCCGGAGGGGCGGGGCTTGGCCCCGGGAGGGGACCAGCCATCCGGCAGCCCCAGCTCCAGGGGCGTCAGAGTCCAGCTCCCAGCCTTGGCTGACGTCGGCTCCAGACGCCGCCCCTGAATAAGGCTCCTCTCGTTCTTGGCCTCGCCCCATGCGGGTGTAGCAGGCATTTACTATGCGTCTCCTCCGGGCCTGACACTGTGCTAAGCGCAGAGGACACAAGGAAGGGCCCCAGACGGTCTTTGTCCTGGGGCGCGGGCGGCGGGGGGGGTGGGGCACCCCACACAGCACCCGGTACTAAAGATATGCGGGATGAAGGCCCGGGGAAGCGGACAGGAGGGAGTTGAGCTGAGAATGGAAGCCTCCTGAGGGCAGGCACAGTAGGCACTTCAGGAATGCCTGTTGGCTGCTCGACAGATTGGGCAGCACCGGGGACCCTGGGGTGGGTACCCGCGCCGGCCTGGATGCCTCCGAAATCCAGGGGGGGTGGGAAATGAAGGCCCCAAAGAACAAAGGCACGGCCCCTTTAAGAAGAAAGCGCGGGAGCGCCGAGGAGGCGGGGCTCCCGCAGACACGTGCCGACTTTGCTTACCCCGGGAAGGCGCGTCACGTGACGGGGGCGGCGCGCTGGCTGGGCCGGGGGCGTCACGTGACGGAGGCGGTGCGCGGGGAGGGGCCGCGGGCACTCCTCCGCCTCCCGGGCGCGCCCGGCCAGAGGAGGCGGCGGCGGCGGCAGCAGCGCGATGGACGGCTCCGGGGAGCAGCCGCGAGGCGGGGGCGATCCGGGTACGGAGAGCGCTCGCGGGAGCGGCTGGGTCGGGCCGGGCCCGCAGGCCGGGGGCGCGGCGGCTCCGGGGACTGGGCTCCGGCCCGCGGCTCCCTGGCCGGCTGGGCCTGCCCGGACTTGCCGCTGCCCCGGGGGCCGGGCCGGGAGGGAGGGGCGGGGGGCCCCGGGCCGGCGGGCGCCCCAGCCCGCCGACCCCCGGTGTCTTCCTTCCCGCAGAGGCCACGAGCGGCGAGCAGATCATGAGGACCGGGGCCGTGCTGCTGCAGGGGTGAGCCTGGGGCCGGGGGGCACCCGCGCGCCGGGAGGGGTCTCCGGGGCCCGGAAGGCGCCGAGGCTGCGCTGAGCCCCCCACTCTCCGCGCAGGTTCATCCAGGACCGCGCGGGCCGGGTGGCGGGGGGCGCCCCTGAGCTGGTCCTGGATTCCATGGGAGACTCGGCCCCGCTGCCCTCGGACCCCCGGACCAAGCGGCTGACCGAGTGCCTACGCAGGATCGGGGACGAGCTGGACAGCAACATGGAGCTGCAGAGGTAGCCGCTGCCCTGGCCTGGCCGGGCCCCCCCCCCCCCCGCCGCCCGTGCGGCCCCCAGTCCCTCTGAATGGCTCCTTCCCCCCGCAGGATGATCGCCGCCGTGGAGACCGACTCTCCCCGGGAGGTCTTCTTCCGAGTTGCCGCCGAGATGTTCTCCGACGGCAACTTTAACTGGGGCCGGGTCGTGGCTCTCTTCTACTTTGCCAGCAAGCTTGTGCTCAAGGTGTGTGTGTGTGGGGGCGGGGCGGACCCCCCCTGCTGCCGGGGGTCCCTGAATCGCTGTCCGGGGCTGGTCGGTCGGCTGCACTCCCGACCTCCTTTCCTCTCCCTCCGGCCAGGCGCTCTGCACCAAGGTCCCAGAGCTGATCCGAACCATCATGGGCTGGACCCTAGACTTCCTGAGAGAGCGGCTGCTCACCTGGATCCAGGAGCAGGGTGGCTGGGTGAGCACCGCCCCCCCCTTGACCTCCCAGTGACCTCAAGTGCTTAATGCCCCACCTCTTCCCAGGGCCCCCCCCCTTTCTTGACCTCCTTGCCCCTCCAGCCTTTCTTCCCCCCCCTCTCCTGGAGAGCCCTAACTTCCTGGTAATCTCCTTGGCTCTACCCCTAGGATGGCCTCCTCTCTTACTTCGGGACACCGACCTGGCAGACAGTTACCATCTTCGTGGCTGGCATCCTTACAGCTTCACTTACCATCTGGAAGATGTCCTAGGGGGGGCTTGGGGGCCTGGCTGCCCCCACCCTCATTCCAGCTCTGCTTGGACTGTCTGTTTTTAGGATAAATTATGGGTTTTCCAATATGGGGGGGATGACACATTTTTCTTACTTTTGTAATTATTTTGGGGAGTATCCCAGTGACTCTGGCAGTGCCCCAAAGCTGGATGTTCTCAAGCTGCTGGCTACGGGGTGGTGGGGTGAGTAGTAGCCTTGGCCAATAAACACCAACTCTGGAGCAGGCCCTGCTGCAATGCCTCTATTTTTGAGGACCCCCCCCACACCCTGTGCTCCTCTCTCATTTATCCCCCTCTGCAAAATGAGTCACAGTTGGTATAGAGAGTGCCCAGAGTGTGACAGGCTTCTTAGGTAAGCCCTCAGTTTCCTCTTCTGTAAAATAGGGGGCCAGGTGAAGCAGGGAGCTTCCTACATCTGGGCCTGGCCCAGTTAACTTCCCTGTTGGCTCTTGGCTCCAGTGTGGCTGGGGTGGGAAGGTGGGGCCTGGCTCTGGTCAAAGGCCAGGCAGGAAGGTCTCTGAGTCTGAGCTGGGGGCGGGGGTTGGTAAATGGATAAACCTGAACCCCAAGGCCTGAAGCTGTTTTGTTCCCCTCTGCTGGCCAGCAAGACAGCTGCCCTTTCTCAGCAGTCCCAACTGACACCCAGGTTTGGAGGCACAGGAAAAAAGCACCCAGAGTCTGGGAGCTGGAGAGGCAGGAAGGCTCATTGAGGGCCTGCTTTGTGGGGATCAGTCAGCCAGTCCACAAGCACGGGTCAGGCTGGGGACACAGAGGCCAGCCTCCAGAAGAGAAAGACAACACACAGACCCCCGCACAGACACACATACAAAAATATATGTGGACATATGAGTAGGAGACTAGGCACCGGAAATGGGAGCTGGGCAGGCATGGGCAGCCTGGAGGGAAAGCCCCCCATGGACATATCAACAGACCGACCCAGCATCTCTCCCGGAGGTGGGGCTGGGGGCTTCCCTGGCAGGAGGAGACCCTCTCAGCTGCATCAGGGCTGGTTTGCGCCCTAGCCCAGCCTCCACCCCTCCCCCCAAAACAGCAAAGAGGAAGTTCCTATTAGCGGGGAATGCCCGACCCCCCCCCCCCAAACACCAGCGCTGGACTCAGCATGACTCAGCGCTGTCCCCTCTTTCCCTGATCTCAGCGTGACTCAGCTCGGATGTCCCCCACCCCCCCAATTCCTAATCCTAAGCCCCTTCGATTCCCCACTTCGCCATCCACCCATATTCTCCCCAAATCCCTCAGTCCACCTCTGTCCAGAGAGGCCACGGTCGAAGTGGACGCTGAACTCACTGAGGGAGGAATCCTAGGACCTGGGTTCAAGTGTTGCTTCTGATGCTCACTGTCTGTTCTCTCCCCGGGCGAGTCCTGAAACTTCTCTGGGGTCTCGGTCTCCGCCTGGGTCAATCGAGGATCCGGAGCGTGGCCCAACGAGACCGCTCATCGACCAGCCCCTTTGTCCCCCAGACCCCGCAGCCCTGGGCCCCCCTTCAGCTTTGAACTTGCTCTGAACCCACACGTGACCTTCCCGGAACGCGCGGCTCCCCTCCCCCCTTTCCCGCCTCTGCTCGCCCGCCTCCAGCCCGCGCTCCCCCATTGGCGGTCTGATCCCCGGGCTCTCGTTCTGCGCCTCGGGATTGGACCGTGGCCCCGTAGGTCCCGCCTCCTTATCCCCGCCCCCGAGCCTGCTTGCTATAAGAACTTGGTCCCGGGCAACTTCCTCACACCGCGTTCCCCCCTCGCTCTGGTTCTTGCTTCAACAGTGTTTGGACGGAACAGATCCGGGGTCCCCCAGCTCCCCTCGCTTTTGACCTTTGCTTTTCTGCAGTCCGCTAGCTCCTGGGACCATCCGCCCCCCGCCTCCGGGACCAGCAGCCTCCTCCACCTTCGCCGTCGGTGCCATGAGCTCCACCTCCCAGATCCGCCAAAACTTCTCCTCCGAGGCCGAGGCCGCTGTCAACCGCCTGGCCAACCTGTACCTGCAGGCCTCTTACTCCTACCTGTCCCTGGTGAGGCTCGGGGCGCCTCCCCTCCCCTGATTCCCCCGCGATCAGGACCCCCTCCCCGGTCCCCCGTGTGCTCCTTGCACCCGCAGGGACTGCGCATGCTCGGCCCGTCGCTCCCTTCGAGGTTTCTTTGCTCCGCTGCGCGCCCTTTGTTCTTGTTTAACTGGGAAAAGCGCGGGGGTGGTGCCGTCTGGCCCCGGCTGGGTGCGCATGCGTGCACTTGGCCAGGGCGCTCACCAGCTCCCGCTTTCCGTAGGGTTTTTACTTCGATCGGGACGATGTCGCCCTGCCTAGGGTGTCGCGTTTTTTCCGTGAGCTGGCGAAGGACAAACGCGAGGGCGCCGAGCGCCTCATGCGGCTCCAGAACCAGCGTGGAGGCCGCGTCCTCCTCCAGGCTGTGCAGGTGGGTAGCGAACAGGCTGTGCACTACATTTCCCAGAAGCCTCTGCGGAGACACCCCTGGTGGGAGCCGCTGGGCCGCCCCCAAAGGTTTCTGGGAAATGAAGTTCTTTGGAGTTTCCTTTCCCTAAGCCTTCTCTTCTCTCCCAGAAACCTGCCCAAGACGAGTGGGGCCGCAGCATGGATGCCATGCAGGCTGCCCTGAACCTGGAGAAGGGCCTGAATCAAGCCCTCCTGAAGCTGCACGCCCTGGGCTCGAGCCAAGGGGATCCACACGTAAGTAGCCCAGAGGACTCCAGGCTTGGCACGGGACCCAGTTCTGCCTCCTGCCCACTTTTGGCGGGCTGGGGCCCCTTCCCCCCTGCCCAGCCCTCACTGGCCCCTCTCCCCTTTCCTAGCTGTGCGACTTCCTGGAGAGCCACTACCTGGGCGAGGAGGTGAAGCTGCTTAAGTGCCTGGGCGACCACCTGACCACCCTGCGCCATGTGCAGGTGGACCCCCAGCCCGGGCTGGGCGAGTACCTGTTCGAGAGGCTGAGCCTGAAGCATGACTGAGGAGCAGCCAGGCAGGCGGCCCCCAGGCAGAAGGAAGAAGGCACCCCCAATAAAGCCAGCTGCTCACCTAGCACCTCTGCATGATTCCTTGGGGCCATGGGCAGCTGGTGGGGGTGGGCTGGACGGTCAAGATCATCAACTTTTAACCACAGCCTCGTTTGGGAGGCCCTGGGGTGGCACCTTTTTAGGAGCTGGTTAAAGCCGCTGGGCCCGGGCTCTTTTGGGTTGGGAGGAAGGCAGAGCTGGCTCCTTCAACACCAGCATCTTCCAGGCCCAGGTGCCTGGTTGCAAAGCACAGCACTGGAGGCAGTTAGTGCATGGGGAGGTCAGTGGTGGTGAAAAACCTTTTATTCTTTAAATATATAGACCTTCTTTTCATCCTTGGACAGATAATTAATTCCCCAGCTGTTGGCCCTCCCCCTGGGCTGGGGGATGTCACAGACATTGCACACGCACACACACACACACACAGGCACACAAAAGGCCCTTGGTCTTGAGCATAGCCAGGCTCTAGGGGAGTGGGGACAGGCCAAGGGTGTGGGTGGGGATCATGTGGGAGTGCATGATAGTGAAACTGCCAGGAGCCGCAGGGGCCACCAGGGAGAGGGTGGCAGGTCCCGGCCTGGGGTGGGGGTCTGCCTGGAGTGTACCACAGGAGCTGCCAAGCCAACCACTGACTGCCCTTTAAAATGTGGATGATGGAATTCTCATAGAGGACACACAGAGGCAGAAACTTGGGCCCCTGGAGTTGTAGAGCAGAGACTGGTAGAAAGGTGGGAGGTCTTGGGGACCCTCCCTCAAGGCATCCCTTAGGACGTAGGCTCTGGAAGACATCAGCAGACGCAGACGGGGTTGTCTGGATTTAGAATCAAGGAACTGGAGGCCCGGGGCCAGGAAGAAGGGAGGGAGAGCCTGGCGTGCCCTGCTTAGTTGCGCTCCTCGCCCAGAGAGCTGGCAGGGCTGAGGGGCTCACTGGGAGTGCTGGGAGAACTGGAGGGGGCTGTATCCACAGAGCCCCTCTTGGCAGCCGAGGCCCGCCGGGACCAATCAGGGGCACGAATGTTCCTTCGGTCTTTTTCGGCTTCCTCATCCTCGTTGTAGCGCTCACTGTCCTCCTCGTAGCCTGACTTGTGGGACCCATTCTCCTCCCCCTCTTCCTCTTCTTCCCCCTCACTCTGGTGGGGGCTGGAGTGGCGGGACAGTGAAGGTGATGGAGGCACTGAGGCCGGCCGTGGGTAACGGAAGCCCTGAGTCTGGAGGAGGAAGGGGGTAGTGAAAGGCTGTGGCAGGTCCCCTAGGCCCAGGCCCCCCACTTGCTAATGCCCCCCCCCGGAACCCCAGCTACTCACAGCGTCAGCATCGTGAGGCTCATACGTGAAATGATCTGGGAAGGCCTTGGCCAGGGCCATGTGGCGGGCGAACATGTAATACTGGGGGGGTGAGGAGAGGGGGAGGATTAGCCAGGGGCAGACTGATGGGGAGTCTGCTCTGCCCTGGGACTGTGGGGCCTCGAGCTGGGGAGCAGAGGAGCATGGGGGAGGGGTCCTACCCGGCTTAGATACTTCCAGTCGAGCAGATCCGAGAGCCGTTCCGTGCGGTTCCGCTGAATGATCCGCTGCCTGCGGCTCTGCTGGCAGAAACTGTACAGGAATGAGGTCAGCTGGGTGCATGAGTCGTCCAGGCTTCGGAACCTCCGGTCAAGGATGTAGATGCCTGGACACACGAAGGGGTCACTCAGTTGTGGGGGGGAGGGACGAGCCTCGCCAGCATGTTCTCACCTGAGGGTACCTACCGTAGGCGGAGGGGTCCGCGATGTGCTCCTCCATGAAGCAGCCAAAACCAGAGAGGTTGGTGGAGATGCTGGGGATCCCCATGACAGTGCATTCCGCTGGGGAAGAGGGGGGCTGGTTAGGGACCCCTGAACGGCACCCTGGGCCCGCCCCACTCCAGCCTGCACCCCAGCCCTGCTAGCTGCTCCCCTCACCGGGTGTGTAGCCCCAGGGCTCGTAGTAGGAGGGGAAAACTCCCAGGTGGCAGCCCCGGACGAACTCCTCATAGTCTACTGGGAGCAGGGGGCTGGTGGAGGAGAGGAACTCCGGATGGAAGATCACCTGCAGTTTGAACGACAGGGCGAGAGGGGGAGAAGGAGGGAGAGATGGGGGAGAGAGGGGAAGAGAGAGACGGAAGGGGAGGGTGGTTAAGCCCAGGACCCTGGGAGGGTGGGACTCCTGGCTTTACTGGGTTGGGCCAAGGGTCTTCCCTCAGAAGGTCAGTCAGTTTCACAGGGGACCCTGCCCCACCCCGATAAGGTCCTATTTGTTTGCCCAGAAGGGCAGTGAGACAGCCCCTTGATGAGGGATTGCCCCGCTAGGAGGGCTGTGGGACGGATGTCACCTTGACCCGATCAGCGCTGCTGTTGAAGAGGCCGATGCGGCGGATAGTAGTGAGGATGGGGTCCGATGAGTCGTCCAGCATGTTGTGGGTGCACACAGGGGGGAAGGATTGCCGCTGAGGGGAGCAGGAGAGCCGGTCAGGGCTCAGGTGGCCCAGAGCTCCCCAAAGCCCAGCCCCGGCTGGTAGACGGCCATACCTGGGTGGCGAAGATGGCTCTCTTCATCATGGTGAAATCCTCCTTGTCCAGCATCTTGTTCACGTCTGGGAGGCTGCCGCTGAAGGGGTGCAGGGGGCAGGGGTCAGGGGTCAGGGCAGCAGCCAGAGGGGAAGGGCAGACACAAGGCCCCCGTCCCACCCTGTCAGCCCCGTCACTCACACCAGGAGGGATTCATAGAGCTTTCTCCCGAACTTCTCCTTCACCGTGTTGGCTGTGTCCCTGGGGGGGACAAGGGGGGCTTCATCATCAAAGGAGCCCTTGCTGGAGGGCCCAAGGGGGGTGAGGAGAAAAAGGGAAGGAGTACAGGAAGAAGAAATGTGCTTGGGAGAGAAAGGAAGCGAGCCCAGCCAGGGCCCTGCAGGAAGGGGAAGCAGAAGCTGGGCCGGCGGCCAGCGGGGGGCCAGGGCAGCCCGGGGGCGGGGCTAACCAGAGCTGCTTCCGCACCGCCTGGCCCTTGAGGGTCTCCACGTTAAAGTTGTTGGTCCTCGCGGGCATGATGAAGAAGGCCACCACGGTCTGCTCGCTGCCATTCACCTGCGGGGTAGGGAGGAGGGAGGGGATCAGGGCTCCCCCCCACCTCTGTGGGCACCCCCCCCCCGTCCCTGCCAGCACCCCACAGGTGCCTGACCCTGAGCAGGTAGTTGAGGCGGGCCAGGGCCTCCAAGAAGACGTCGGCACCCTTGTTGGAAAACTCGTAGCGGCCGGCGATGAAGAAGTACAGGGTCTTGTCCAGGTTGAAGTCCAGGTGGCTGGTGGGAGGACTTCCTCAGTCACCCCTCGTGTGCTGGCCACAGAGCCCCTCCCAGAATCCCCGGGCATCTCTGAAGGGCCCACCGAGTGCCCAGCACTGAGATACAAGGGGAGAAGCAATGCCCGCCCCTCGGAGGGGGCTCCTCACCCATAGAAATGGCCCCTCACAAACTCCTGGATCCGAGCCTTGCTCTGGGCGTGCAGGTTCTGAAACTCGTGCATGGCCGAGAACTTCTTCACGTTGAGACCGTTGGGGGTCACGATATCTGGGAAGAGGAGAGCCAACGGCCACGGAGGCGCTTGGGACCTCGCTCACCCTGGGCACGAGGGCCCACTTCCCGGAGCCTGGCCCTGACACCATGGAAACCCTGCTTCTAGGGCAGCGGAACAGCAGCAGGGGCTGCTGGGAGCAAGCGTTCACTAAGCACAGGCTGAGCTGGGCCAAGTGCTTGGAGGGCCCCATTTGGAGGACCCTGAGGCAGACGGGCAGGTCTCAGGGGACCCACGGCCCAGCTGGGGAGAAGAGAGACCATGGGCAGAGCTCCCAGGGAGAGGGCGCTCCCCACCCCCCCGGGGACAGCCCGCTCCCCGCCCCCGGGGGACAGCCTGTACTCCTCACCTGGCTTCCTCTTCAGCAGGTGCTGAGCCTCGATGGCTGTGATCTGGGACACGGTGGTGAAGACGTGAGCGCAGTGGGCGGCTGCTCTCTCCATGCAGTACCGGTGGTAGATCTGCCGCTCCCCCGCCTCCTTGTCCACGTTGAACTGCAGGGCGGAGCACGGAGCTCAGCGGCCCAGGCCTCTGCTGGCCACCCCCCCACCCCCACCGGGGGGGCCTCTCACATTCTCCAGGTTGTTGTAGAAGTCCACGGCCCCGGCGCAGAGGTAGCGGCCCAGCAGCGTGGCATGCGTGGTGAAGATGGTGGCCACCGGCAGCTTCCGGGCCCTGCATAGGCACAGACCCACCCCCGCCAGCCACTCGTGGAAATGGCCCACGATGAACGGCTTCTCTTCACTCTGCGCCCAAAACTGCAAGAGAGACAGAGGGTCCCGCTGGCTCGCACCCCTTCAGCCCCAGGGTCTGCGGGGAGGCCGGGAGGAGGAGGAGCAGGGCCAGGGAGCTGGCCCCTTGGGTCCCTACCTCACCCAGGAACCAAGTGGTGAGAAAACCAAAGAGGACTGCGTCGTTGGCTTCGCGGTCGTACCAGGGGACCCCGATGCTGCAGGTGTCCCAGAGCTCGCCCTTCCACCGCTCCAGGGCCCAGGCGGCAGCCCCCACGTCCAGCAGCACCACAGGGGGGCTGCCCTCGATCAGCCAGCGGCCGAAGTACACCTGGGGGGCGTGTGGGCATGTGGGCAGGGCCCAGGGACCCTCCTTGCCATCCCCTCTCTGTCTCCTCCCAATGTCGAGCTGTCAGGCCGAGAGCTCCCTATCACATCAGCTTAGTTCAAACAGGAAGGACGGGCCTCCTTGTCCACCACCTCAGAGCTCCCTGGGGTTGGGAGGTGCCTACTGACCCCCCCACCCCCACCTCCCTGCAGTCAACCCATCCCTTGCCCTTCCCCCCTCCCCGTGGCAGCGCCCCCCGCCTCCCTTGCCTGCTGCCCTCTCTAAATCTGCCCACGGCCCCTCCCCCCTCCCAGCTGTTTGCTGCCCTTTCCACAGCAGGGGGAGAGGGGGGCTATTCTTAGGCTGTGACCCTGCCCTCCTCCCATCACATGGCCAGCACCTGCCTGGGGGGTGGGTAGGTGTACCCTGGGGTTCTCTGGGGACAGGCCCACGCCCGGGGCTTTAGCCCTTCTGCTGTCCGGAAAAGACTCAAAAATCCCCAGTGTGACAATTCCCTGGCCTCCACCCAGGCACCGGCAGTGCACAGGAATACGTGGTGGGGCCGTGCCCCAGAGAACACTGAGCTTTAGCGCTCACTACGCCTGCTGCGTCTACACCATCCTCTGCTGACCTTGAGTGAGCCCCTGGCCCCATCCGGGCCTCATTTTCCCTTCCTACCTTGCAGCCCTTGCTGTTCATGGAATCCAGGGTCCTGCGCAGGGCCGGGGTGGGGGGCTCCAGGAGCTCCACCTGGGTCCGCACTCCCTGCTCCGTGTAGGGCCCCACCAGGTAGTAGTTGTCTCCCCACTCATCGCCGGTCACCTTGGCTTTGGTCTGAAGCACAGTGTAGATGCCCCCCACTGCCGGAGAGCTGGGGTCAGGCCCGTCCTGGGGGAGGGGGCTGGCCCACCAGTCACTTCTTTCCCACTCCCTGATGCCTCCATGGTGGAGGAGCTTGAAGGTACGGACCACATCTTCCCCAGGGCCCTCTCCCTTCCCTGGGCCTGCCAGGGCTCCCCTCATTCTGGCTGGCTGGTCTCAGCATCCCTACACTCAAACTGCCCGAGTATTTCCCAATCCTCAGGACCCCAGCATCTTGGCTGGCCTTGAGGCACCAGGACTCAGCATCAGGGGCACCCCCTACAGCCCAGGGCTTCCTGGCAGCCCCCCCACCCCAGCGCACTGCCCCCAGCCCCTCTCTCTCAGCTTTCTGTCCTGCAGCCCGGACTCCCCCCAGAGCCCTGCAGGGCTGGAGTCCCCCACCTCCCCGCATCCTAGGGACCCCAGCCCCATGCTCCTTTTGCCTGCCTCCCAGCTCCGCTCTCAGTCTGGAGATCCTAGGCTTCTGTGACTAGGTCTCCTCTCTAGTCCCTGGCCAATCTCCCACCCTGGAAATACAGATCACATATGCCCTTGGTCCCATGGACCCTGAGATTCCAGCCATGGGGACCCTCACTTCTTGGCCCCCCAACTCTCTTTTAGACCAGGGACCCCAGGGTCCCCCTTGTCGTCCAGGGCTGCCAGTTCCTCCTCAAAACCCAGCCTGGGAATGCTGACTTCACTTTCCATCTTCACTTTCAGCCTAGGGTGCTCCATTTCCCAGCCTCCCTCGGGGTGCCCAGTAGCCCCCTGTCTGAGCCACTTTGCCCCTCCCCAGACCCAAGGGCCCCCAGGCAGCTGCCCCTCCCCTCCTGGAGAGCCACTGCTCCAGCTGCTCAAAACAAGGCCCCTCCCCTTGGTGCTGTCTCAGTTACCTTGCCCCCCCTCCTCTCAGGTTTTGAAGAAATCTAAGGGGGGGGGTCCTTCCATCCTCGAGTCCCCGGCAGCCCTTCCCCTCAGCCTAGCACCCTTTCAAATGTCAAGTGTCCTGGAGTCCAAGAGGCAAGGAAGCCGGGCCCCTGGCCATTGGGGGGCCTGTCTTTGGTCCCCTCCCCAGGGCCCTGGACTTGTGTCCTAAGCACCCTGCCCCTCCCTTCCACCTGGGGGAGTATGTCGCCCTGGCCTGTCCCCTTGGGGGGGTGTCACCCCCGCCCATCCCCCCGCCCCCCCCCCCCCCCCGCCTGCTCCATTCTCCGGGGATCGACCCCCCGGAGGTCACCCCATTCCGCCCCCCCTTCCGGAGGGGTCGCCCTGGTCTGCCTCCTTCCCGAGGGGAGGTGTCGCCTCACTCTGCCCCCCCTTCCCCTTTTTAGGGGGTGTCACCCACCCCGCCCCCCCTTCGGGGGGAGGAGGGGCGCTCACCTTTGTTGGCCACCTCCCAGGCCACCTCGAAGAGCACGGCGTTGTCCAGGTCCAGCTCATCCTCCCAGTCCTCCAGGCCGGGCAGCGACGACACGGACAGGCTGCGGCTGAGCGGCATGGCGGCGAGGCTCGGGGCGCACAGCGGCCTGGGCCCGAGGCGGAGGCGGAGGCTCTGAGCCCCGGACCGCAGCGGCAGCCGGACCCTTGGGCCCCTCCGGGCCTCGCCCCGCCCCCTGGCCCGCCATTGGGGCGCCCAGGACCGCGTCCTCTGATTGGCTCGCTGCGATCCTCGCACCGTCCCAGCCGGATGAAGCCGGCAGGGGAACGGGGGTGGGGTGGGGAAACGGGGACACCGAGTGCCCTGATTGGTCAGAGTTCCGGGCTCGGCGCCCGCAGGGCGGGACCGAACACTGTGGGCCCGTTCACCGATTGGCCGAGAGCGCACGTCTATCTCCAGGCCGTGGGCTGAGGCTGCCCGCGGGAGCCAAGCGGGGCGCAAGGGCGCGTGGGGGACGTGCGGTTCTTAAAGGGGAAGTGTTGACATTTCCCGGCCCGCTGGCACACAAAGCCACATCTCCCCACCCTCCTATCTTCCACCGAGAGGCGCCGGAGGACCGCTTTAGCCTAGAGTAGCCTCAAGGCGCTGGGGGAGGGCGGAGCTAGTGGACGCTTCCGCTTCCTGTCCAGCGGTGGATCAGCGGCGGTTGGAGTGCGACATGGCAACCACGGTGCGCAAGGGCTGCGGGGTTGGGGGGCCTGCCCGGGTGGTGCGACCAGGGACGCCTCGTCCTTCTGCCTCCGCGAGCGGGCATGGGAAGCGGGAGGCTGCGCGGCGGGAAACTGGGGCAGCCGGGGGCGGGGGCGGATCAGGGGTGGAGAGAGGGGCGTGCGCGCGCGTGTGCCGCGGCCGGCGAGCCCCATCGCCTCCTCGGCGCTCCCGATTTCCTTCGGAGCTGGTGCGGGCGCCCCCCGCCCAGTACCCGGAAGGGCATTGATTATGCGCCTGCTGTGTGCCGATGGCGGGGGAGGGGGGCGACCAAAGCCGGGGGAGCCCCGAGCTCACAGCTTAGTGGGGAGACGGCCCCCAGTCCGGAGCCCTCGATTCCCCCCGGCCATCGGGGGGGCGGGGGCTCCCTGGGACTCCGGGCTCACGTGCCTCCTCCCGGCCCCAGGCAGCGACCACCAAGGTTCCCGAGGTGCGGGATGTGACAAGAATCGAGCGTATTGGTGAGTGGGGCGGGGACCCCCCAGACCCCGGCCCCGTTCTCTACCGCGCGGCCCACGAGGGCTCGTTGCTCCCGTTGAATCGGGGACCACCTTGCCGCCCTCTCCCTGCCAGTGGCCGCTGTTCCGACTCCTGCATCTTTTTCTTTTTCTTTTTTTTTGGCTAGGCAGTGGGGTTAAGTGACTTGCCCAAGGTCACACAGCTAGTAAGTGTTAAGTGTCTGAGGCCAGATTTGAACTCAGGTCTTCCTGACTCCAGGGCCAGTGCTCTATCCACTGTGTAACCTAGCTGCCCCCGTCACCTAGCTGCCCCTTCTTTTTTCTTCCCAGCTCCCTCCATGGCCACCACCCCCAGGAATCCTTCCATGGTCCCTCCACTCTCCTGGCACAACTCTGAGTCCCTGCCTGTGGATTAGAGGGAGGGTGTGTGTGTGTGTGTGATCTCTGTCTACTTTGCATCTATCTTGGGGACCGCTAGGGTCTCTAGGCCCTTAATGCATTCAGTGCCCATCAGTGGGTGGCTGTGTGTGTGTGTTCTCTCTGCCCACTAGGTGCTCACTCCCACATCCGAGGCTTGGGATTGGATGATGCTCTGGAGCCCAGACAGGTAGAGGAGCAGGGATAGCCAGGAGGCCATGGTCATGGGGTGGGGAAGAAGGGCTCCCCAGAAATCCCTCTGTGATGTCTGCCTACCCTTTCCTCTTCAGGTGTCCCAGGGAATGGTGGGGCAGCTGGCTGCCCGGCGAGCCGCTGGTGTGGTGCTGGAGATGATCCGGGAGGGAAAGATAGCCGGCCGGGCAGTGCTCATTGCTGGGCAGCCTGGCACAGGGAAGACAGCCATTGCCATGGGTAATCCAGAGAGGGCAGGGTGGGGAGCAGGAGGGGGGAGGGGAAAGAATTGGGGCAGGGCCCGTGCCTGCAGGGTCAATGAGCATCTTTAATGCTGGAAGGGCCTTAGCTTGCTTTTCTTGAATAGGGCCCCAAGGCTGTGTAGTGAAGTCAGATGAACTAGGGCTGAACTCTCCTGGCTGAACCAGGGTGGGTGGGAGGGAGGGGCAGTCCATTGGTTCCAAGCTCTCTCCCTTCCCTCCTCCTTTGAGGCATGGCCCAGGCCCTGGGACCTGACACACCTTTTACCGCCATTGCTGGCAGTGAAATCTTCTCTTTGGAGATGAGCAAGACAGAGGCTCTGACCCAGGCTTTCCGGAGGTCCATTGGGGTCCGAATAAAGTAAGTGTGCCCATGACTTTTTGGCATCTTTAGGACAGCATGTGCTGGGGCCTGTTTGGAGGGGCTGTCTGGGGGCAGGAAAGGGTGACCTCCGTCTTTCTGAACCCTCCCTCCTCTCGCCTGCCAGGGAAGAGACAGAAATCATTGAAGGAGAGGTGGTGGAGATCCAGATTGACCGTCCTGCTACAGGCACTGTGAGTCCCAGCCTGGGGAAGGTCCCCGGGGGTCTCGGCAGGACAGGAAGGTTTCATGAGAGATCCTGGGTGTTTGCAGAATCACAAAGCCAGAAGGGGCCGTCAAGATTCACACCAACCCACCTGCACAATTTAGAGAGAAAGAAGCATCCCATGTTGATCAGGGCAGCAGCACGATGGAAGAGTGGGGGGGTGGAGCCCTAACTGCTTCCCCGCTTCTGGCCCTTTTCTTTTTGGGGACAGGGTGGGCTCAGGGCATACTGCCTCCCCCCAGGGCTCCAAGGTGGGAAAGTTGACGTTGAAGACAACGGAGATGGAGACTATCTATGATCTGGGCACAAAGATGATTGAGTCCCTCACCAAGGAGAAGGTCCAAGCAGGGTGAGCAGAGAGTGGCCGGGAGGTGGGGGGGGGGAGGTGAGGAGCACGGCTGAGGGTCCTTCTACATCCATCTTGCCTTCCAGGGATGTCATCACCATTGACAAGGCCACAGGGAAGATATCCAAGCTGGGGCGCTCCTTCACCCGTGCCCGGGACTATGATGCTATGGGTTCCCAGGTATGGTGCCAGGCTTGGGGGTAATGCTATGGATCCTCATCTCTCTGTTTCCAGCCCCCCTCCTGTTCCCCTGGGCTTTGTCTTGGAATCTCTACGATTCCATTCAGCAGTCTGGCCTTGTCACCCCCTCCTCAGTAAACTCCCCATTACCTCCACAATCCCATACAAAGTGCTCTGTTTGGCATTCGAAGCCCTTCCTAAGCCCACCTTATTCCCTGAGACACACTCTTAGATCTGGCGACACTGGCCTCCTGGCTGTTCTGTAAATATGGCCCTCCCTCTGCTGGCATGCTTGGAGCCCCTCCTCTCCCTCCTCATCTGCGTCTGGCTCAGGCACGAAGCCTGCTCCCCTCCCCTTAGCCTTTCCTCCGCCCGATCTCTCCTGTGGATCCTCTGCGTGGCTGGTGGTTGTTGTTGTCTCCTTTAGAGGAGGTCTGGGATGGCTTGTTTTGCCTCTTTCATGTGCCTGGTGCTTAGCACAGGGCCTGGCACACAGCAGGTGCTTAATAAACGTTCGTGGCTTGCCTGACTTCCCCCTGTAACATTTCCTCACTTCTCTCCATCATTCCTGTACCCCCCACCTCCGGTTCCGTTGCCTGCTTCATCTCCATCCCTCCCTTCATCTCTCACCTAATGCCGCCGGGACCCTCTTACTCACGCATCACTCGGAGCTCTCTTGACCGTCAGGCCAGCCCCTCTCCCATAACTCGCTTCTGCACCTCCCCCAGGCCCCGGTTCCAGGTTCTCCTCCTGGGTCCTTGAGGAATGAGGTCTGGCCTTGGGCTGCTCCCCGTCTGCCGTCTCTGTTTCTGTCTCTGTCTTTCCCCCACCCCCGCTTTCTTTTTTTTCTTGATCCTTCTGACCGGCGCTTCCCCTCAACCCCTTTTGCTGCAGACCAAGTTTGTTCAGTGCCCAGATGGGGAACTTCAGAAGAGGAAGGAGGTCGTGCACACGGTCTCTCTCCACGAGATCGACGTCATCAATTCGCGCACACAGGGCTTCCTGGCGCTCTTCTCAGGTGAGTGTCAGGCTGGGCTGCTCCACTGTGTGCCTCGCTGCCGGGTTCCCCGCCATGGGCCCTCTTTCCTGGTCCGGCCTTTGCCCCACGGCGGGGCCTGTGCCCGTCCGCTCACCCCAGGCTCTTCCCAGGCGATACGGGGGAGATCAAGTCGGAGGTGCGGGAGCAGATCAACGCCAAGGTGGCCGAGTGGCGAGAGGAGGGCAAAGCGGAGATCATTCCAGGGGTGAGGCCCAAGGCGTTGGGGGCAGGGTGGGGAGGGTGCCGACGGCCGGTGTGCTGACCGCCGTTGCCGCTGCCCAGGTGCTGTTCATAGATGAGGTCCACATGCTGGACATCGAGAGCTTCTCCTTCCTCAACCGGGCGCTGGAGAGCGACATGGCCCCTGTGCTCATCATGGCCACCAACCGCGGTATCACCAGGTCAGGGGTCAGCCCGGAGGTGGGAGCCCCCAGGGAGCGCGGCTGCGGGGCCTAGGGGGACGCTCATTTCGGTGGCTTCTCCACCGTCCTCCAGGATCCGGGGCACCGGCTACCAGAGCCCCCATGGCATTCCCATTGACCTGCTGGACCGGCTGCTCATTGTATCTACTGCTCCTTATAGTGAGAAGGACACCAAGCAGATTCTCCGAATCCGGTGAGAGAGGGGCCTGGCGGGGGCCCGGCGGGCGTGTGGGCCCGTGGCTGCCATTCCTGGGCAGGGCCTGCGGGAGGGGGCCGCCAGAGCGGAGTGAGCTCTGGGGCACAGGCTGGAACGGCATTTTAGGCCGAGCCTGCCCTTGCCCTTGGCATGGTCCCTGGGCCTATCCCCCATGTACCCGAGGGGCTCCTGGCACGGGGTGCGGCTTCCCTTTGGCCCTAAAGGACCCTTGTGCTCTTGCGGGCGATGCCTGGATGCTTGGGAAGGGCCCTGGGCTCCAACTCCAGTCTTGCCCACAAAGCCTCCGAGCCCCCTTGTAGCCGAGGAAGTCAGTAGGGCTTGGGGGCGTCTCGCCCAGACTCAGCCATTCAGATGGGGCCTGTAGGGATGACCCCAGGGGGGTCCAGGCTGAGCTGTGGCTGGCCCTGCAGGTGTGAGGAGGAGGATGTGGAAATGAGTGAAGATGCCTACACAGTGCTGACGCGTATTGGGCTGGAGACCTCTCTGCGCTACGCCATTCAGCTTATCACAGCTGCCAGCCTGGTGTGCCGGAAGCGCAAGGTGGGCTAGCAGGGGGGCCAGTCGGGTTGGGCAGACCCCGCCCCCCCATGTGCAGGAGGGCTCTCAGCTCCTTCCCTCCCTCTCCTCTTCCCTGCAGGGCACCGAGGTGCAGGTAGATGACATCAAGCGGGTGTACTCTCTCTTCCTGGACGAATCTCGGTCCACACAGTACATGAAGGAGTACCAGGATGCTTTTCTCTTTAATGAGCTAAGTGAGTGCCTGACATGCAGCCCTCCTCCCTTCCTCCTTGGGGCTGCTTTTTCCCCAGTGGCTGGGGCTCACTCTCCCTGCCAACCTCTTCTGACCCCCTTCCCCTTCCTCCTTGTTCCAACAGAAGGTGAGACCATGGATACCTCCTGAACCTCCTGGACAGATCTGCACAAATTTCCTCCCACTTCCTCTCTGTTTTTCTACCCGGGTTGTGACATTCTGACTTTCTATAAAATTGTTCTGGAAACCTCATGCCTCATGGTTGTTTTTTTGGGGGGGGGGGCAGGGGAGGTGATCCCAGGGGCTACGAGAGAGCCAGTAGGAAGTACTGGCTCCCACATCCAGGCAGACAGGACACCAGGGGTGAGATGAGAAGCCTTTATTGGGGATTGGTGGGGAGGAGGGGATGGAAAAGGGGAGTGGAGGGAAGAGAGGAACTGGAAGGTGCCACCCTAGAGGTGAAGGGAGAGGCTAGGGCCCCCAGGTCTGCGCCCTAGAGGAGGCGGAGGCTGAGGTGAGGCCGGGTGCAGAGGTGGGGTCGGGCCCGTGGGCCCCCGCAGTCTGAATGGCTCAGGCGGCAGGATCCACAGCTGCAGCTGAGGGCCACAGGGAAGGAGAAGACGGGGTCCACGCCAGGGGGACATCCGGGCAGCCGGATGGAGGAGAAGCTCAGTTCCCTATAGGTGCAGACCAGCTGAGGGCCCGGAGGCAGCGCAGCCGGCAGCACCCGCACCTGGGAGGAGAGGGATGGGATGCCCAGTGACAAGGCTGCCTGGGGGTGAGCCCTCCCACAGCCCTCTGCACCCCCGAGCCTCACCATGCTGGGGCAGTAGCCAGCACAGATGGTAGTGGTAAAGGTGACGCACACTGGGCAGGCATCGCTCTCCGCAGCCAGAGTGGCGTTAGTTGGTCTGCACAGGGGGCGAAGGGGGCTCCCTCCCCAGGAGCCTCCCTCCACTAGCAATAGCAGCAGCAGCAGCACTGTTAACTCCTGGGGAGGAGGGTGCAGAGCCCAGCTCAACCTCCTGAGGAGGGAGCCAGGCAGGTGGGATCCCAAGACCCCCCCAACCTCTTCACATTTAGGGACTCGAGCCCTCCCACAGACGTGGGTTCCCATACCCTACCCCTTGTCCCTAAGGGCCCACGTTCTCTGCCCCCCACCTGCCTCAAAGGTCTTGGAAGGTCCCTCTCCTTGCCCCGGTGGGCTTCCCAGGAATCTGGTCCCCTGGGTCCTAGAGACACCTCTCCCACCCACTTCCCCCTTGGGCTTCGTAGGAATTGCATCTCAGCTCCTGGGGTCTGGAGGCCCTTCTGCCACCCCTCCGGGCTTCCCTGGTGTCTGGCTCCTCACCTGGTATCTCTCCATCCTGCACTCCCCCTTGCCAGTTGCAGCCTGGCCACCTTATAGGTCCCAGGCAGTGGGGGCGGCAAGGCCACCAGCCTCTTTGCTTTTAGCTGGGTAACCTGGACACTAATCTCCAGGGCAGGCGGGGGTGGCCCAGCCAAGGTCACTGAAAAGCTTGCACACAGGCCAGGCTTTAGGTGGCTTTAGGGTTCCCAAACAGCCATGGGGTGTGGGCAGGCCAGGGAGCATTGTCCCCAGGCTGGAGAAGGGCACGAGGCTAGGCCAAGGCCAAGGCCACAGAGAACTGAGAACAGAGTGGACGCAGACCTTTCTGTAGTCTCAGGTGTTGGGGCCCCATCTCAGGTGTGTGCTGGGGTTGGGCCAGAAGCCTCAGATGTAATAAGAAGGAACCCATCTGTGGAGGTGTGCACCCCAGGTTGCAGGCCCTAACCAAGACCCAAGCTGCAGAACTCAAGAGGCAAAGATCATGTTACAGAGGAGAGATGGTACAGCAGCCCCTTGGCCCACCCGTCCCCATCATCTTCAGCTCAGGCCTTCCCCTGCTGCCCCAGGGCCCAGAGCAAGGGCTCAGTGAGGCGTGAGGCCTAGTCAGAGGACCCACCTCTCCTGGCAGGTCAGGGCAGGGGTCTGGTAGCCCTGGCCCCCAGGGCAGGTGTGTCTGCCCCAAGCTCCGCCCCGAGGTCCAGGGCAGGCATGCAGGTGAACCCTCGGAGGCTCCAGTGTGGAGGGCAAGGCCTCCTTGGCCCTGCACCAACTAGTTGGGGTGCGATCTGTTCCAGCACCGGGGCGGTGTCCTCAGGGCCTCCGCCCCCGTCCCGAGGGGGTGTGGCTTGCCCCAGCACCAGGGGCGTGCCCTCAAGGGACCCCGCCCCGTCCGCCTCTCCCCTGCCAGACGGCTGCCGCCAGCCCGCAAAGTTCAAACGAAGGCGGGCTTGAGGCTGCCATAGCGAGAGTTTTCGGTCTGGTAGACGTGGGGTACGGTCTGCAGGCCCGGCACGGGCTGCACTTGGGGTCCCACCCAGGGAGCCTCCAGCGGGCAGAATCGGTCAGCCACGCGCAGCGGGTGCTGGAGGGGCCCGTAGGACTCTTTGGTCAGGGACAGGGCCCCGCGATGGGGGACGCACGGGCGGGCCTGGCTCAGGCGGGGCACCCGAGGAAGGGGCTGCAGAGGCTCGAGCACCAGCAACCGAGGCTGTTTGCAGAAATTTGGGTGCTTCAGACAGTTGTTCTGGCGGCAGCCGGCCAGCTCCTTCCTGCTCAACCAACGGGATGAGTCCGGGTCAGAACTCAGGGGAGTCCCGGCGGAGACGCAGCTTAAGTAAAGGGTGGCAGAGTCTGTCCTAGATGTGTGGGGAGGGGAGGCATACGCCCAAGTCCTCCAGGGGATGGGGATGGGGATGGGGATGGGGGCGGGGGCGCCGCAGTCCTCGAAGGGGCAAGAAATTCCTGAATCCTCAAGGGGACTCTGCTGGGAGAAGGGGCTCCTGGGTCCTCGAGGAGGGGTTGGGGTGATGCCATACGAGGGGTGTGCTTCGCGGGTAGGCGGGGGAGGAGACTGGACCACTGCTCACCTGGTGTAGTAGCGGAAGTCTTGGGCGGTTGTGGTCAGGTAGGGCTGGTGGCGGTCGAGCACGCCCTGCTCCGGGATGTAGAAGGACAGCCCGGAGAGGGCTGGGTTCTCGCTGGAGGGGATCAGGGCCTGGACGGAAGGGGAGGGCACAGGACTAAGCATGTCATCCAGGATCCCTAGTCACCATCACCCCACCCCAACCGCCATCCCCTCTCAGGAGCCCGGCCTCACCTGGCTGGGCCCCTGGGCGTGGTGATCGGCTAGCTCCCAAGGTTGGGGCACTGCCCGTGTGGTGGTCTCAGAGCCCAGGTTGCGCCAGCCTTGGTACTTATCCCGCATCTCACTTTTCTGGTACGCCATGGTCAAGGGGTGCCGACAGGGCCGGAGCTGGAGCTGAGGAAAGAGAGGGGGAAGCTGGAACCACCGGCCTCACCGGCCTCACCTCCTCTCCTCCCCGCCCCTCGGAGTCCCGGTTCCCCGGTTCCTCACCTTCTCTCCCAAGTCCTTGATTCCTAGCGTTCTTTTGACCCTGGACGTGAGCACGTACTTGGGCTGCGCGTACACATCGCCGTGAGTCTTGGGCCCATGCGCCGCGCCTGAGGACGTCTCCCAGCGACTGAAGACCTCATCGAAGTCCAGGATATGGGAGTCTTGCTCGGCCGCTGGGGGGAGGCTTTCGGGGACCGTGTTCTGGGGGAGAAGGAGGGGGAAGGGTTACGGCAGAGGGTAAGACCTCGGTGCCGCCCGCCCCCAGCTGCACTCCCTCCCGCAGACCCGCCCCCTCGGTGGTCCAGTCAGAAAGTTTTCTCCCCAGCCCTGTCCCTTGGGGACCCAGCGGTCCTGCTCACCCGCACTTTAGGCGGGGGAAAGGGGAGGGTGCTGCCTGGACCGGGGGGGGACGCCCACACCGCTGCTGAGTTGTCGCCAGTCTGGCCTCCGACCGCCAGGACCCTCGACGGGGGTGCCCAAGAGGCCATAGTGTGACTGCCGAGTGAGGCCGGCCATGGCCTAACCAGACCTGGCCTCCTTCTTGGCCTCCCCTTGACACCGCCCCCACTGTTGATGCCGTTGCCCAGGAGACAGACAGAACCTGCCGAAGCCTGGATCTGGCCAATAGGGGCTAAGGGGGTGGGGGTGAGGGTGGAAGGAGGCGGGAGAGAACTTCAGAAACAGTTCAGGTAAAGGACTGGGGGCAGAGCAGGAAGGAGAGATGAAGAGAAAAAAAGAAAACATCGAGAGGCAAATACAGAGGGAGAGTGAAAAAGATCTCGAGACTAGGAGCAGGAAGGGGGAGGGGCAGGAGAGCCCCATACTTAGAGACAGAGAGCTAGCAAGACAGAGACCTGGAGAGAGGTAGGAAGCCAACAAGATGCAGGGATGTGCAAACATATAGACAGAACCCAGAGAAGCCAAGGGACAAAAATAGAGATAGTATAGAAATACATGTATATATTCATATTTATGTGCGCGTGTACGTATGTGAGAAAGAAACCCAAGTAACAGACATGTCTAGAGAATATTCGAGACAAAACCATTGGGAAAAGTTCCAGAGATGGACTCTGAGGTAGACACAGAGACAAGGACAAAAAACCTGAGAAATCAGGGACCCAGAGACAGAGCCTGAGCTCCCAGTCACCCTTCCTTGGCCCTGATGAGGATGACCCACTAGAGGGCTTATGGTCTTGGTGGACTCAAAGCAGGCAGAATCCAGTGCCCCTTAAATTGGAGGACGGAGGGGATGAAAACCGCAGATTTCAGCACCAGTCTTCTTCGATTCCTCTGTCCCATGGCCCTCGGGATGTTCCATCCCCCGATCTCAGATCTGCCCAGCTCCCACTGGCCTGGTCCAGCTAGGGTCAGAGCTGCTCCTCTACTCAGACTCTTACAGATGAATGGAAACTTAGAGATTATCCAGTTCATGCTCCCTTTGCTCAGCTTCTGCTTGAACACCTCCAGGGACAGGGGATTCACTCCCTCTCCAAGCATCAGGGCACTTGGTGGGACAGTTCTGAGGGCTGGCAATTAGCTTCACTGTGGGCTCTGCTTCTACCCTCAAGTGTGGGACATAACACACTGGGTTCCTCTGCTCCAGATCTGTGCCTCTCTCTTGGGTCTTTGAGCACTGTGAGCATGGGGGTTAGTAGTCTTCTGTTGACTAAATGCCTCCAGCTCCCAGAACTTGACCTCAAATGGTGATTACACTCAGGATCTCTTAGTTCAACCAAGTGGCCACAAAGACAAGTAGTGTGACCTTGCATAAGTCTCTTTCCCTTTCAAGGCTTCAGTCTTCCCTTATGTAAAATGTGCCAGGTGATCTCTAATTTGAATGGAAATGAAGTTCTCAGCTAAGAGCTTTCATGAGCCCTGGGTCAGCCTGGGGAGCCCCTCGAAGCCCAGAGAGTGGGAGGCATTTGCCCAAGGTCACACAGCCAGCCAGTTTGGAATTAGGCCCGCCCCCCAGCAGTGGCCCGGCTGAGCAGGGTGCACACGCAGGCCGTGTCAATGCGGATCCACCTCCAGCCCACTCGGCCCTGCCCGTCTGCAGTCAGCGCCCGGACATAAGACTGTTTGGCTTTGCATTCAGACACCCAGTGTCTTCTGTCTACGCCACGACAGCCGGCCCCGCCTCCAGGGCCCCCAGCCGCTTTGCATCTGGTTTCAAAAAAGTACTGGCGCAGGGGGCCCCCTCCTGCTGCAGGCACCTCCCCCAGGACCTCCACCTCGCGGCCGCGAAGGTCCACAGCCGTGCGGCGGTCGGTCACCCAGCCGCTGACTGCATCACACACAGCCAGCTCGCCCCGACGGCCAGCCTCCGCTCCGGCCCCAGCCTCTCGCCGGCTCCGGTTGGCTGGGGCTGCTGTCAGGGAGGCTTCCAGGAGGAAGAGGAGTGGGGGCCCTGAGGGCGCCCCCCGAGACAAGGCCACCCTTGGGGACAGCAAGTCCCACTCGGGTCCTGGGAATGGGGGCAACGGTGGTGGCTCCTGGGGGGCCACGCCCCGTAGGAGCCAGAGCAGAAAGAGGAAGAGCCAGATGCGGAGCCGGCTGGATGGGAGAAGCATCTCTGTGGCCACCTGGGAAAGAGAGGGGTTGTGGTCAGAAGAGCAGCCCTTGAGCCCTCGGGGAAGGCTAGAGGTCCGGGGATGTCAGGGCTGGGCAAATCCCTGCCCCTGTGGAGGCTTCCAGACTCCCCCGTCAGCAAGACGAAGACGTTGGGCTCTGATCGCTAAGGACCCTTTCATTTCTGATAAGGAGCAGAGGGAAAAGGGGAGGAAGACCGTAAGGGAGGGTCTCAGGCTTACCACACTTCTCAGGGCCACCTCCTCCTGGGCCCTGGGCTGGGGGCTCCTGGGCTCTGAGGGGCCCTTGTCAGGGTCTCCCGGGACCCCCTCCTCCCAGCCATCCCAGGAGAGGGGGGCGAACACCTAGGAGAAAAAAGGGAGGGAAGCTTGGGAGCAAGTCTCCCCCATGTCCCCCTGAAGGACCCAGGCATCCCCTCCCCCAGACCAGGGCCCTCTGCGCAGGCCCCTTCCCAGGTGACGGAACCTGACTGGGATGGGAAGCAGATGTCGGGGATGGGAGGCGGCTGATGGATGAGGCTCAAGGGCTGGAAAAGATTATGTCCCTCACGGCCCATCCATCTCCCAGACAGCGGAGGGGGCTGGGGGCCGGGAAGCCTGGGTCCCCAAGAGGTGAAGGCTGGGGGGATGGGGACTCCAAGGTTCCTGAGGGGGCGGGACTGGGGGGGGAGGAGGAACTCTAGGTCCCTTGGGGGCAGAGACGCCTGAGACCACAAAGGGGCGGAGGTTGGGGGGGGTCGAACGCCTGGACCCCTAGGGGGCGGGGGCTGGACTCCTGGGTCCCCGAGGCGTCTCCCAGGAATGTTCCCTCAGAATTGGGACAGGCCAGGACCCGCCCAGGACTTCAGTTGCACATACCTGGAGCTGCCGCCCGGGCGGAGGCGGGCAAGGAGTAGGAGAGGGAGGGAGAGGGTGGGAGCGATTTCTAGTCCTCCCCGGGGAACCCAGGCGTCCGGACTTAGCCCCCGCCCCCTCGGGGACCCAGGCGGCCCGGCCCAGTTAACGGGAAAAAGGGATAGAGAAACAAAGCGGATCTCGGTCCGAGCCTTCTAGCACGCCTGAGTACTCCCTCGAACTGCTCAGAGACTGGGCTGGGCCCTGCCTGCCTCCTGCCTCAGTTTCCCCGCCGGGTCCTGCCCCCAAGCTCCTGCAGGGCCTGCCCCCTTGGACCCAGGGCGGGCCTGAACTCCTGGATCCCACCCCACTCCCTCCTTCCTGACATTCGGCCCGGACCTTACTTGGGACACCCTCCTGGGCTCGGGGCTCTGGCGGCCGCTGCTCCCTGGCGCCGGGCTCCGCGCGCGGCGCGGCCCGCTCCGGGACAGGGGGCGGGTGCTAGGCTAACCCCGCCCATCTGGGGGAGTGACCAGCAGTCCCGCCCACACCGTCCACCTTGGCTACTCTGAGACCAGGACCGCCTAGGAATCTGACCTAAGCACCTCCCTCCCTTCGGGCACTCAGGCACCGCCTCCGCCCGACCCTCCGACACGCCCCCCCACCTTCCTGGACCCAGGCGTCCTGACCCCAGCTTCCTTCTCTCCTGTGCCAGAGAAGTGTCAGTCGGGGCAGCCGTCCTCCCACCCCCATTTCGGGCCTTTCCCAGAGGGAGACACAAACCAGGCGCCCCGGGAAAGATAAGGGCCCAGACAGAGACAGAAGTGGGGAGACAGGAGCCCCATTTCCCTGGCCAGGCCCCAGCCCCAGTCTCAGACTCCCCCAGGCCCCAAGCTCTGGGGGGAAGGAGGAGAGCGAGAGGAGGAGGAGGGCAACAGAAAAGGCTTCACTGGGCCAGACAGAATGGCAGGCAGGCCAAGATAGAAACAGATCAACAAGGAGACGTAGAGATTCAATTCAACCAGCATTTATTAAGGGCCAGCTTTTGAAGCCAGGCTCTGGGGATGTGGTGGTGAGTCCCTGCCCTCATGGGGCTTGCAGTCCTGGTGGGGGCATATACACAGATGAGAGATGGAGGCATAGACACATAGAAAAATGAGGAAGATTCACAACAGAGAGACAGAGAGATGGAGTACAGACAGACACCAAGAGACCCAGAAGGCTGGGGACTCCTCTCCTCCCTTCCCCCCTCCGGCTATTTTTAGGTGCCAGACATTGGACACCCTGGCCTGGGGGCCATCCCGGCCCTAAATTTAGGCCCAGTGCAGGCGGCTGGGTGTCCCCAGGTTGTGGTTCTCCCGCCCTCCCCCCCAGACTGGGTCCCCCTTCCTCTTCTCAGCCAAGGGCAATGCCAGTGTAGGGGTGGTTAAGGCTTTTTACTTGAAGAACTGGGTCCATCCCAGCACCACTCTGCCCCCACGAGAGTTCTTGCTCCAGGGCAATGCCTCCATGACTTCCACCCCAGCCCCCCCACCCCCAACTTCAACCCTAGCCTGACTGCTCTGTCCCAATACCAGGAGAAGGGAGTTTGTGAAAGCATCTTTGCCTGCCTCTCCTTATCTCTGTCTTTTTTCTGAGTCTCTCTCTCTCTCTCTCTCTCTCTCACTCTCACTCTCACTCCCTCTCCTTCAATCTTTGGGTCTTTCCCGTCTTTATCTCCTCTCTACCTCCCCCTATTGCTCTTGGCTAGGCTCAGGATCACTTGGGGGCGTTGTCAATACCCAGACGTATGAGCCACTTGGATGGAAGGCTGGAAAGATCTGTCCATGTCATACTTCCTCAAGGGCTGGGGCTTAGAGTAGCTGAGAAGGGGGCAAAAAAGATCAAAAAAGACAGACTGAGGGAGACAAGGGGGTGCCACAGCTTGGGACCATACAACCAAAAAGACCCAGACACAGTTGATCAAGTCACCAACCAACCCAGCACCATGCAGAAAAGCTATACACACCCCAACAGAACCATACACAGACCCTAGGCAGCTCATGCAGCAGTCATATGTAACCTTACACAAATGCAACACCATGATACATACACACCCATGTCTCTCACAGAGCCGTACAACCACAAACAATGAAATATGATAATGCCTCACAACTGAAGAATAGAGGAGAACTAGGGATCTGAAAAGGCCCATGAGCAGTATCAAGGTTCCACAAGGACAGATTAGAGACTAGTGTGTTTCAAAGATGGCCCTAGAACCTGGGTTCTCCTGACATCCAGCCCAAAGAGCTCTTTGTACAGCAATACAATGCTCCTAACCTCTCCAGAGACTCAGGACACACCAACACAACTCAACATATCCAGGCCTCGCACAACTCAAGATGCAACTCCTCCATCCAACTCAATGAGACCCTCCAGAAATTCCATGAAGTCACCCAAGCAATGCAACTCAACCCAACTCAATCCAAACCGTATGGAAGTGTATGCCATTATTGTGAATGAGATGGAAAAATGTGGGCAGCGCTATCTGAGAGTGTGGTTAGGGAGATTGGAACACTGATGGCCAGCTGGGTGAAGAGTGCTGATTAAAGGGATCTATCTCCACCTGGAAGGAGGTCTCTAGGGATATCTCCCCAGTCCCATGCTCTTTGTTTTTGTTTTTTTAATCAATGGACTTTGATGAATAGAATAGAAGAAACTTATCAAATTCTCAAACGACACAAAACTAGGTAAGATAGCTAACCCACTAAACAATTGAGAATAGAAATCTAGAAAGATCATGACATTTAGGAACCTTGGGTCAGATCTAATAAGATGCAATTTAACAAGAATAAACAAAGTTCCACACTTGCGGGTCAAAAAAAAAAAATCAGCTAGCAAGGTACAGGATGGAGGAGATATGGTCATACAGTCATCTTTGTAAAAGAGTTTTGTGGGTCTTGGAGTGACTGCAAATGGAACCTGAGTCAGCAGAGTACCAGGGCAGCTCCCAATGTTCTGTAGATCTTGGGCTGCATTAATAAGGGCAAGGTCCAGGACAAGGGAAGTTACAGCCTTGCTGTTCTCTGCCCTACTCCCACTGTGGCAGGAGTCTGGTGGTCAGGTCCAGGCAGGACAGTGTCAAGGGGAGATGCTGGAACTGTGAGAAGACTGAAGACCATGTCATAGCCAGATAAATTGAAAGGACCAGGGCTATTTCTCATGGAGAAGAGAAGACTTAGAGGAGACATGAGACAGTCTTGAAATATTTGAAAAGCGTTTAAAGAATAAGAAGTAGACTTGTGTTGTTTGGCCCCAGAAGGCAGAATGGGAGTAATGGGAAGATTGTTGAGAGCTATTCAAAAGTGGAATGGGCTTCCTTGTGAGGTAGTGAGTTTCCCACCTCTGAAAGTCTTCAAGCAGAGGCTGGATGAAAACTTTTTTTTTTTTTGGATGGTATAGAGGAAATTTCTGGTCAGATACAAGTTAGATGAGATGCTTTCTGAGGTCTCCTTAAGCTCTGAAGTTGGATGATAACCCAACTCAACCCAACATGACTACCAGGTCCTCAGAGACTCATATGAGACAACAACCAGAAGCCAATCAGAGCCTAACAAAACCCAACATAACCACAAGCTCCAGAACCTCAGAGACTCATGCAATGCAAAAAAAGCACAAGGCCCCAAACACACAGGGCACATGACCAGAAGCACCACAGAGACTCACACGACCAGGAGGCCCCCAGACTCAGATGATCCAAACACTTAGCCAATCACAAATCCCTATCGCCTTAAGATTCACTGGATTCACCATAACTGTACCTGTTTCATTCACATAGCCCCCACAGATATTCACATATCCCAATAGGACTCAATCTCAACTTGAAAGAAACCGACATGATTTAATAGAATTCAATGAAACTCAGTGAGTCCCCTTGGGACTCTTAGAATCCATGGGCCAGTACAAAACAACTTCAGAGGTCCTGCTGGACTTGCCACTGATGGATTGCTGAAATGTATGGGAAAATTCAGGATCCAGGTCCCAACACCCATGCCACCTAACAACCCAGCTCTAGTCCAATACTCTTGTATTTTCACATTCCTTCCCACCACACTGATTTCCTTTCCCACCCTGGACTGGACCCCTCACACCTCTGTGACCAAGTGCTTCCCACTGCCCCCAACTAGCCCATTAGCCTTGCCCTCAGGGGTCTCAGGAGGGCAGCAGGGCTGTGTAGCCACATGTCGGTATCTCCCAGTGTCTTCTCCCTCTGTTTCCCGGTGGTAGAAATAGCTGAAGTTGGAGACAATGACAGGCACAGGCAGGGATATGGTGAGGACACCAGCAATGGCACAGAGGGAGCCCACGATCTTGCCACCCACTGTGGCAGGTGCCATGTCCCCATAGCCCACGGTTGTCATGGTCACCACAGCCCACCAGAAAGAAGCAGGGATGCTGGTGAAGCCTGAATCAGGGGGCCCATCGACCTCAGCAAAGTAAACCGCACTGGAGAAGAGGACGACCCCAATGAAGAGGAAGAAAATGAGCAGGCCCAGCTCCCGCATTGATGCCCGAAGTGTCTGGCCCAGGATCTGTAAGCCCTTAGAGTGGCGGGACAGCTTGAAGATGCGGAAAACTCGGACCAGGCGGATGACCCGCAGAATGGCCAGGGACATGGCGGGCTGACCCACACCCCGCTGCCGGGCCAGCTCTGTGCCCAGGGCCACAAAGTAGGGCAGGATGGCCACAAAGTCAATAAGGTTCATGACATTCTTGAAGAAGGCCGTCTTGCTTGGACTGGCACCCAGACGCACCAGGAGCTCGAAGGAGAACCAGCAGATGCAAAGAGTCTCCACCAGGAAGAAAGGGTCATCGAATGAGGCCCTTGGAGGTGGAGTCACTGACTGGGAGCCATTGGACCGCATTGATGGGAGCTGTGGGACAGAACAGGTCAGTCAGAAGGTGGGAGCCCACAGTATCGGCCCAAGGTCAAGTCTCCAGTCTGCCTACAGAGGGTACAGACACCTAGGTCCCTGGGTTAGTGAAGGCTAAGGGGAAAGGATGCCAGAGGCCCTCAGGAGTTGGGGGTTGAAAGCTAGATGCCGGGGTTAGAGAGATCCTGAGGAAATGACCTGAGTCTGCATTGGGAAAAATTCCAAGGGGTTTCAAGGACTTCCCCCCAGAAACAAGGCTAATTCCATTCCCCTACCCGAACTTGGAGACTGAGGATGGAGACACTGAGTCTGTATGTCTCTTCCTCTTCCACTGTCTGTTTCTGGCAGAGATTTCCTCTTCCTTCAATTCCCCGCCCCCCCCCCCCCCCCTGGCCCCCCCCTCCCCCCCCATCCCCCAGCCCATTCTGTCCCCTGCCCCCCCCATTTCCCAGCCTCATCTGATCTCCTCTTACCCGTTGATGCCCTCTGATTCTCTGCACTCCTACTTCTCTCTATTCTTTCCTAGCTACCTTTTTCCTCATTTCTGCCCTCTCTCAGTCCCCTCTGCCCCCTGACCTCTTCTACCCCATTGACTCTCTCTGCCTTTTCCCAGCCTCTACTCCCTGACCCCCTCTGACCTCCTCCAGTCCCCTCTGCCCCGCCTAGGTCCCTCTGCCATTTCTCAGTCCCGTCGACCCGCTTGCTTCCCCTCTCCTCCTCTGACGCAATTCCCCAGTTCCTTCTAGCCCACTCTGCCCTTCCCGACCCCGCCCTCGGCCCCTCCTGCGGCCCCTGGGCCCCTCTAATTGCCTTCCTCGACCTCTGTCTCCCCAGCTCACCGGCCCCGAGGCAGCCCCGGGCTGGCCGTCGCGTTCGTCTCGGAAGTCGGGTAGGGTCTCCAGGCAGAAGACAACGATGGAGACAAGGATGACGAGCACGGAGACGACGGCCACAATGCGGGCTGCGGCTGAGCTCTCGGGGAACTCGAAGAGCAGCCAGAGCTGGCGCGCGAAGGGCCGCCGGGGCAGCCGGCGCTCCGGCTCGGCTGCGAAGCCCTCGTCCTCGCGGAGCTTGGCGAGCGCGTCGGCGCCCAGCTCGTAGAAGGCCACCTCGTCCAGAAAGACGTCCAGGGGTACGTGTGCCGGCCGCCGCAGGCGCCCGCCCGACTGGTAGTAGTGGAGGATGGCGTCGAAGCTGGGCCGGTGGCGGTCCAGGAAGAACTCGCCGCGGGTCGGGTCGTAGAAGGCGCGCCGGCGGCCCGGGTCGCCCAGCAGAGTGTCCGGGTAGCGACTCAGGGTCCGAGCGCGCGTTTCGAAGCGTAACCCCGCCACATTGAGCACCAGCCGCTCGCAGCAGCCGCACGGGTCAGCCTCCATGGCCCCCGAGGGCTGGCCGCCCAGCCAGGGAGCGCGCAGAGGACGGGCACCGACGCCGCAGCCAGCCAGCCCGGTGTCCGATTCCCCGCGCCGGTATAAATAGACACCGTAGGCCACCGTAGGGGTGGGGGCAGCTGGCCGGGGTCTGGGGGCGACCCGGGGCGCCCTCTGCTGGGAGGGGGGGGACCGGCCACCGGCTCGAGGACCCATCCTCCGCCCCCTCCGCGCCTTTCCGCGGGGCCAGCTCGAGTAGTCAGAGCTTACCCGTCTTTTCATCTCAGTCCAGGGCCGTCTGTCGTTCTCCCTTGAAGGTTCACTGACCTGTTTCATGCAGTCCAGGCTGTATCTTTCTTTCCAGGTTGCGGTCACTCCCAAGCATCATTTGTTTCTTTGGCTCTGTCTGTCTCTGGGGTCTGTCTTTAGCTCTCTGGTTTCAGTCTGTCTCTGAGAGAGTCTGTAACTCTCGTTTTCTGCGGATCTTAATGTCCCTCCCTGGCTCTGTGCCCCTTTCCGACTGTGTAGTCTTGGGTCCTTTTGTCTCTTCCCCGGGCTCTGTTTCTCAGAGTGGCTGTCTCTGGATCCTTTGGTCCCTCCAGACGTCTCTGTCACTGTCTTTCTGGGTGTCTCCCATTCTGTCACTCTAAAGGGCAACTAAGTTACTCTTTGTGAAAAGTTCATCTGTCCCTAGTTTTGTCTGTCACTCTGAGTCTCTTTTTTTCTGGGTCTTTCTGTCACCAAGACTATCCTCTGGATCTGTCTGTAGGCTTCTGCCCGTAATCTCTCTCAGTCTCTCACATTCTGAGCAAACTTTCTTTGTCAAGCAAACTCCCACCTACTGCGTGGAATTCCAAGTCACCAGCTGCAGGGATCTCAAGCTCCCCCTTCCTTTACTGCCCTCCCTGAAACTCAGTCCCCATCCACTTCAGCACTACCCTCCCAAGCGACGAGGCTGCTCTTTTCTGTCGCCATCACGCCTTTCCTTCAATGCAGACCTCTTCCTCTCACACTACTTCCAGTTTTCTTATTCCTTATCGGCCCCTTCCCCTTTCCCTCCCTCCAGCCCTATACACCACCTACAATCCAGTAATCCTGGCCAGCTCCTCACTCTGGCCATTTTCTACATCCATGTATCCCCCATGCCTGAAGCATAATCCCTGCTAAGTTCTGCCTCCTCCCTGACATCCTTCAAGTCTCAGCTAAAACCCCACCTTAGACAGGAAGTTAGAAACTGGGAGTTGTCAAGAGATGATCAGGAACCAAGGCATTCCAGAACAGTCATGTAGTTGTGAACTGGTCAACTGTAAGGTTGAGATTTTGAAGCAAGGAAAATAGGGCCAGAGCAAGGGTGGTGGAGCTGGAGAAGACCGAGGCATAGAGAGGCTCAGGGTGTGTTTTGGGGATTGAGGAGAGATGCACCCTGACCTCCTTAATCTTATGAGACTACTCCCAGTTCATCCTGCATAGATTTTGTTTGTACATCCTTGTTTGCAAGTCCACTATTAGACTGTCAATAACTCCAGAGCAGGGGCCTGCCTTGCTTGGTAACTTCACCACTTAGCGTAGTGCCTGGCACATAGTACGTGCTTAATAAATGCTAGTTGACTGACTGACATGGAGAAGACCCCACATCATGAGCCATTCATTTCACTGTTGGTGCTGGACTGTTTCCATTCATTTCACTGTTGCATCTCTCCCCAATCCCCAAAACACACCCTGAGCCTCTCCATGCCTCGGTCTTCTCCAGCTCCACCACCCTTGCTCTGGCCCTATTTTCCTTGCTTCAAAATCTCAACCTTACAGTTGACCAGTTCACAACTACATGTCTGTTCTGGAATGCCTTGGTTCCTGATCATCTCTTGACAATTCCCAGTTTCTAACTTCCTGTGCATTCACCTTCTCCACTACTACACACTGGCTATGGAGAGAGGAAGGAAATCACACCATGGTGCTGCCTGCATCTGCTATTGATGTACATAATTTATATAATTTCAACTGGCAGACCTATCTCTCACTGGGTCTCTCTCTTCTTCTTCTTCTTCTTTGTTTTCCTGCTCCTTCTCCTCCTCCTCCCCCCCCCCCTTTCCCTCCCTTATATGGGTCTGTTTGTCTCTCTTTGACTCTATCTTGGTCTCACTCTGAGCCTGTATATGTCATTTTGCAAACATTCTCTCTCTGGGTCTGTTTTTCTGTCATTCTCCAGATCTGTTTGTCCTCCTCGGTCTAACTGCCTCCTTCTTTGAGTCTATCTTAATATATAGAGTTTATTTTTCCTGGATCTCTGTCCCTGTCATTCTCTGGCTCTGTTTGTGTGTCCTTTCTGGGTCTCTCTAACTCTCTTAGTTTACTGGGGTTCAACTTTCCAGGTCGTCTTTCTGTCTTTGGGTGCCTCTTTGAGCCTATCTGTGTCTGTCTCTGTTTGGGTCTTTGCGTGTCCATCTGGGTCTATATGGCTGTCATTTCTGCAGTCCAATATTTGCTCTTCTAGAAGTCTCTCTGCCCTTCTCTGGATCTGTCTCTTAGTCTCTGCCTGGTCTTGTCTATCCTATTGTGTGTTCCTCTCTGAGCCTTTCCATCCTTACCAGAGGCATCTAAGTGGTTCAGTGGATTGAACATTAGGTCTGAAGCCAGGAAGATCTGAGTTCAAATCCAGTCTCAGACACTTCCCAGCTGCGTGACCCTGGGCAAGTAATTTAATTTCTGTCTTTCTCAGTTTCTTCGGCTATAAAATGGCGCTAATAATAGCATCTACCCCCGACCCAAGTGTTGTGGGGATCAAAATAGATATTATCGTAAAGTGCTTAGCATGGTGCCTGGTACCCAATAGATATTCAATGCTTTCCTTCCTTCCTTCCCTGTCCCTGTGTCTGTCTGCCTATCCTTCATTATGTCTATTCCTGTGTCCCTTTCTAGTATTGTCTTTGTATCTTTCTCTAGATCAGCCTGCCTGTCCTTCTCTGTGTCTGTCCTTGTGGCCCTATTTGGGGCTATATCTGTGTCTCTCTCTGAGTCTATGTATTTTTCTGAAATTGTATTTGTATCTCTCTCTACATCAGGCTTTCTGTCCCTCTCCTTCTGCCTCATGTCCTTCCCTAGATCCTTCAGTGTGTTTCCTTCTGGGCCTTTCGGGTGTGCTTTTCTCTGGCCCTGGTCCAGACCCTGCATCCCTTCCTAGCTCTTTCTGCTTGTCTTTCTGGGTCAGTATGTCTAACATTTGCTGAGTAAGTCATTCCTTGGGTCTTTCTGCGTGTCCCTGTCCGGGCTTGTTCCTATGTGCTTCTCTATATAAGTATACTATGGGGCTGACACATTTAGATGGAAGTTGTCCTGGAAAAGGTTGTTTTTTCTGGAGGGGTTAGTGGATTGCAAGCATGATGTGAGTCAGCTGGGTGGCAGTGATAAAAGATCCTTGTGATCTTGGGTTTCCTTAAGACAGTTGTATAGGAAGGTGATAGTCCCACTGTCCTTTGTCCTTGTCAGACCTCATCTTGAGTACTGGGTTCAGTCCTGGGTACTGTGGTTTAACAAGGACATGGATAAGCAAGGAGAGGGTACAGAGGAGGGTAACCAGGATGGTGAGCTGATATACATTGAGTCTAACATAAGCACTGGTTGAAGTAATTCAGGATGTTGAATCCAGAGAAGATTCAGCTGGTATATGGTATTTGAATTACTCTTCAAATGTGGGCTGTTATGTCCAACAAGGACAGGACTTACTCTGTCTGGTCCTTGAGGGCAGAAGCAGGAGCAATGGCGAGATGTTCCAAAGAGGCAAATTTAGACTTCATATCAGGAAATCCATTCCAACAGTTTGAGCTGTAAGTAGAATGGGCAGCCTCAAAAGGCCATGGGTCCTCCTTGGAGGTCTGTGAACAGAAGTTTGGCTGCCAACCTCATCCAAAAGAATGGCCTTTTCTCAAACCTCATCTTCCTTGACTTCTCTGCTATTCAGCCTCCTGACACTGCTCTTCCCTGGTTCTCCTACCTGATGACTCCTCAATTTCTTTTGCTGAATCTTCATCCAGGAGATGGCCCCTTGTCTTCCACAGGGCTCTTTTCTCTTCCTGCTTTATACTATTCCACTTGGACACTTCATCAGATCCCATAGATTCAGTTATCATCTTTATGCTGATGATTCTCAAATCGACTTTTTCAGTCCTAACTTATCTGCTGACCTCCAGTCTCCCAGCTCCACCTGCCACTTGAACATCTCAAACCGGAAGTCCTGGAGACACCTTACACTCAATATGTCCCAAATGGAATTCATTATGTCCCATTCCCTCAACCTTCTCCTCTTCCTAACTCCTCTAGAACTGTCCAGGTACCACCATCCTCCCAGTCACCAGGCTTTCAGCCTTGGTATCATCCTCAATTCCTTAACCTTGATGTCTCCCCCCATAATCAGTCGGTTGCCATGTTCTGTCAATTTTACCTTCACAACCTCTCTGGTATGTACATGCCTCCTTCCCACGAACATTGCCACCACTGTGGTGTAGGCCCTCAGCCCCTTATATGTGGACTCTTTTTTAAAAATATTTTATTTTTTCCTCCAATTACATGTAAACATATTTTAAACATTTGTTTTAAAATTTTGAGTTCCAAATTCTTTCTCTGTCCCTCCTCCCATTGAGAAGGCAAATAATTTAATATAGGTCATACACGTGCAGTCATGCAAAACCTGTTTCCATGTTAGTCATGTTGTAGAAGACTACACAGACCAAAGCAAAAGAAAACAAGAAAAATAAAGAAAGTTATGAAAAAGCATGCTTTGATATGCATTCAGACTCCATCAGTTCTTTCTCTGCAGGTGGGTAGCATTTTTCATCCTAAGTCCTTCGGAATTGTCTTGGATCATTTTATTGCTGAGAATAGTTAAGGCATTCACAGTTGATCATCATACAATATTGCTGTTACTGTGTACAATATTCTCCTGGTCTTGCTCATTTCACTTTGCATCAGTGCATGTAAGTCTTTCTAGGTTCTTTGAGAGCATCCTGCTCATCATTTCTATAGCACAATTGTATTCCATCAGAATCACATACAACAACTTGTTCAGTCATTTCCCAATTGATGGACATCCCCTCAATGTCCAATTCTTTGCCACCACTAAAAGAGCTGCTATTCACATTTTATACCTGGCCTCTTGAAATAGCATGTTGGTTGGTCTTTCTACTTCAAATCTCTCTGCACTGCAGTCCTAAAAAGCACAGGTTTGACCATGTCACCTGCCTAATACGCAAACTCCTATGGTTTGCTATTACTTCTAGGATCAACTATAAAATCTTCTGGTTAGTGTTTAAAGCCCTTCAGAAACACCCTCCCTCAATTTTTCCAGTCACTTACACCTTACATCATCCCTCCCCACTCTTTGATCCAGTAAAACCAGCCTCCTTGCTGTGTTCTAATAAGACACTCTATCCCTGCCCCCACCCCCCAACTTCAGGCATTTTCATCGGCTCCCCTTTCTTGGCTTCCGTAAGAAGCCTTTCCTATTCCCTAATTCTATTGACTTTCCTCTGTTCGCCGTCTGCAATATATTGTATATGTATTGTTTGTACATAACTGTTTGCATGCTGTCTCCCCTTTTAGACTGTGAGATCTTTGAGAGCAGGGACTTCTTTTTAAATCTTTCTTTTTATACCCAGCTTTTAGCACAGTGCCTGGCACATAGTAGAGGCAGCTAGGTGGCAAAGTGGATTGACTGCTGGGCCTAGAGTGAGACTCCTCTTTCTGAGTTCCAATCTGGCCTCAGACGCTTACTACCCGTGCGACCCTGGGCAAGACGCTTAGCTGTGTTTGCCTCATCTCCTTTCTTTGTAAAAGGAACTGGAGTAGGAAAGGGCACTGCAGTATCTTTGCAAGAAAACCCCAAACGGGGTCATGAAGAATCGGACATGACTGAAAAATGACTGAATAAGAACTGGCAAATAGCAAACCCTTGATAGTTATTGACTGAGTGAACCCAGGCATCATTTAACTTCCCTGTGCCTCAGTTTCCTCATTTGTAAAACTGGGGCAATAGCACCTACCTCACAGGATTGTTGTGATCAAGTGAGTTAACACGTGTAAAATGCTTTGCAAATGTAACAGTGTTATATAAACGTTAGATGTTATTATTATCATCATTATTCAGTCTTTGGATTCTGAACACTTAACACAAAAGGAGGTTACGAAATGCAATTGTTTAATAAACGTGTAAGGGTGGGGGTCGCAACTACCATTTGGTGCAAGTAACATTTGGTACTGTAAGGGAAGAAGCCTTCAGCCTGCCTTCCCCATATAGGGCTGCCATGTAGTCCTGTAATTACAGGTCTGCCCCAGGATTTGTTCTTTGCTTTTAGGTGAAGGGAGAACAAGTCATACCATATCTAGACACGAACTTGGTCAGGTCCATGTTATATCAGAATTGTGCCAAGAGTGAGCCCCCTCTCCCCAGAGACCAAGGTGGGACTGGGCAGAGTGTGCCCCTGAGGTATTTTGGGGGGCCAAGGTTTGTTCTTGCTTTAACTTTAAAATAAACATCTCTTTGTGAAAGTGAAAAAAAAAGGGAAGATCCTATTGGTCTTTGTTGTCTTGTCCAGGTGAGAACACATCTGGATTGAATCAGACAACCTAACTGGGCACGAATAGAACTCGTAAACTCCTGGAGTTAGTCAAAGCCCACGTGTGAAGGACTGAGTCGTCACGCCTCAGGAAGTTGGATAAAGAGAAGAAGCCGTCTCTGAGCGAGGTTGGCTTTTCGAATCCGGAGCCCTTGAGACATAGGAAGGCAGATCAGCTGTGCCGGGGCCCTTGGATCATCAGAGGATGCAGGCCTGGGGAAGTCCCAAGAACAAGGCGGCTCTCTGCTCAGGTGCCTGTCTCCCCCAGGCCACACACTATCCGGAAACGACGGGACAAGGTGGGGTCTGGGGCTCCCTGGAGCTAGAGATGAAGGGCAGGCCAGCCTCTAGAGACCCAGGCCCTAGGAATGGTGCTGGTTAGCGGCTCGGAGCGGGCACGAACTCTCTAAAGCCCCGGAGGAGGGCGCCCTTATGGTATCACAGGCTGCACGTATTCTTCAATTTCTTCATTGCGGAGTGGTTCTTGGCGCCGCCCTGCGGATCACGTGACGCCACTTTCTTTTTGTAAAGCGGGGCTGGCCCGTAATGGAGGAGTATGTCACATGGAGGATTCTTTTCTTGGCGTAAGGACACTTAGAGATGGGCGGAACGGTGTGATTGGTTCAGCTCGCGGAAGGCGGAGGTTGATCGAGAACTAAAGAGGGAGGAGAAAGCAACAGGCGCACGCGCTCTGACAACATTGGCCAGGACCGGGAAGAGGAGGGAGCGGAGGACGATGAGCGCGTGCGCGTTGGACTCTTGTCGGGCCGCCCGCCCCTCGGGGCGGTTCTGCGCGTGCGCAGTGGCTCGCGGGCGCGCAAGGATCTCGGCGTGGCCCCGCCTCCCGCCGGCCCGCGCTCGCGCCGAGTTCTCACGAGACCCGCCTCCCCGGGTCGGTGCGTCTCTCGCCGCCTGGCCGTGCGGGTCTCCGTGTGAGCCGAGACCGGACGGACGGAGTGACTGAGTGACGGAGCGAGCGCCCCGGAGTCCACAGCGACGCCGGCCCCGCCGCCGCCGCCCCCGGCCTTGGCCCCGGCGCGCCACGAGGCCCCCGAGCTCCAGGACGACGACGAGCCGCTGCCGCTCCTGCTGCCGTCGCCCGCCCCGGGAGCCCCGCCCGGCCGAGGGGGCCGCCGCCGCCGCCGCGCGGCCGGTGAGTGCCGTGGGAGCGCCAGGCCCGGCCGGGGCCCGGTGGCTACCCACAACCCCCTGCGCCCGCCGGTACACCCCCTCTTACCCATAACTCCCTGCGCCCGCAGGGGACCCCCCCCCTCCCCGCTACCCACACCTCTCTGCGGCGGCCTATACCCCCCCTTTACCCATAAGTCCCTGCGCCCGCCGGACCCCGCTAGCTACCCACACTTCCCTGCGCCAGCCGATACAACACCCCCTCCTTTATCCACAATGCCCTACGACTGTCGGGGACCCTTCCCTGTCACCTCTAACTCCCTGAAGCCTCCAGGACCTTTCTCCTGTACCCACAGTGCATTGCGCCCGTCGGGACACCTGCCCCCATAACCTCAACTCCTCTTCCTTGCCAAGACCCCTGTTACCCGCATATCTCTGCGCCCGCCAACCCCCTCCCCCAGGACAATGCCCTGCACCCCACGAGACATCCCCCTTTTACTCGTACTGATCTGCGCTTGCTGGGATCCCTGATTATCTGCATCCCGAGTACTCCCCCCCCACTTCCCAGAAGCTCCTGCAAGAGCTGGACACGGGAGAGGGGCATCCCCTCCATTACCGACAGCCCTTTGCGGCAGCCCCTGCCCCTCCTTTCACCCTGATTGCAGTTGTTACCCACATTGGGCCTCCCCAGAGTTCCTGCTTCTGGAAAATCCCAGTATTGTGGGGTGGAGGGGTCCCTCTAGGCAGCAGGTGGGGGGAAGATTGTCATTGAGGGTCCCCTGCACATCTCTGAGTCCCCCCGTGCCATGGGGATCTTTCCTATCCTAGTGCTCAGGGACCACCAGGGAAGGGGGATGGAGGGCAGGTGCCTTTATTCCTCAGACTTGTGACAGGCTTCTGCTCTGTACTGTAGACCCTGTACACCCGGCATCATGACGCAGTTCTTGCCTCCCAATCTCCTGGCCCTCTTTGCTCCTCGAGACCCAATCCCCTACTTACCCCCCCTGGAAAAGCTGCCTCATGAGAAACACCACAATCAGCCCTACTGTGGCATCGCCCCCTACATCCGGGAGTTTGAGGTGAGTAAACACCATCCCCCCCACCCCAGGACCAGGGAGGGGTACATGAGCCTAGGGCAGTGTCAGGAATCCCCAGCCAAGGGCCCAGGGACAACAAGGGGTCTAGGCTTCCTTGTGGGGTTTTCCCCCTCTGGAATGAGTCCTGTGCTTGGGGAAAAAAAGAAACCAACATAACTGTGTAGGGAGTTGATGTCTAGCATCGGTAGAGTCAGATCACTTGTTTACTTCTGAAGAATTCAGCTCAGCTGTCCCATTCCACCTCTGTGGTGTTTGGCAGGCTGCTTGTTTTAACTTCTCTGGGTTCTTCATTTGTGGAGTAAGGAGGCTCGGCTTTAAACGTGAGATCCTCTGTGATTGCTGAGCCCCCGTTGGTAGTGATATTTGAAAGATTTGAGGAAATGCCGCAAGTTCATGCCAAGGAGTTTTGTAGGACTAGTGAAGGGCAGAGGATGGCATCTGAGAGCTAGGTGCCAAGGGGACTGACTTTTGTTCACAGCTCTGAAATGTGATCAGAGGGATGGTTAGGAAACATCTGGGACCACTGGCTTAGCTTGCTTTTGTCAAGGACAGACCGCCAAACGCCCTTTTCTCTTAGTTACAGCATTAATAGTGTGGTGGTTCGGAGAATGCTATGGCTGTAGTTCACTTAGATTTCATCAAAGTGTTTGATGAGAGTCTCTTCTGTTATTCTCCTGGAAAATACGGCAAGAGGTGGTCTTGAAATGAATGCACCAGCCCCCAGAGGTAGTTGAGAGGAATTCTTTTTGATCTTGGAAGGAGGCCTGAAGTAGGAGCCCCTTGGAGAGTGCTCCTAGCGTCTTCACCAGTGAGGGGTTCCTGTCATATTGTAGTGCATCGCTAACTGTATTTACAGGTGACAAAGAGCTAGGGGGTAAGGAACACATCAGGAGAAGGAATGAAGGACCAGAAGCATTTTGATGGGCTAGGGTGTTGGGCTGGCTAAAATAAGATGAAGTGTCATGGGGACAAGCACCAGGTTTCGAATTGGCTTTCAGATGCGCAAGCTGTGAGGGAAATGTTGTGGAAAACACCACTTGGGTGGTGTGAGGTACCGTAGGTCCCCACCCCCACCCCCAGTGTGGCGTGGTGGCCAAGTTTTGGGCCCTGGTAGGAGGCCCCGGGTCAGCCATTGAGTCAGGTGATTCAGGTTGCCTTGTCCTCAGTCCAAGTTTGTGCTCAGGGAGGATGTTCCTCCTTGAGAAGTGAAGATTCAGGGACATGGTGGGTTTCTTTAGGAATGTGGGCTCCCGTCCTCATGCAGAAGGAAATGCGTTGTTGGTGTTCAAAGGGCAGAACCCCAAGAACTGGGTCAAAACAAAAGTGAGGCCTCTGGAGGCTCACCAGGGGATGGTTAGTGGACCCCACTTAAAGCAGAGGCTGAAGAGCTGCTTGGATGCTGTTGTCACGGGCATCCTGATTGCCGAGATCCCTTCCTAATAGTCACTAGGATTTCTGATGCACTCTAGGATTTGCACACTGCTTTGCAAAATTAACTCATTTGATCTTCAAAACAACTGAGGGAGGTGGGTGGTCTTATTCCTGTTTGACAGATGAAGAAACAAGGCAGGAAGAGGTTAAGTGACTTGCCCAGGGTCATACAGCTGGTGTCTGATGCCAGACTTGAATTTACATTTTCTTGACTCCAGGTCTAGCCGTCTTCCACTAGGATGCTCCGTGATTGAAAGTAGAGGGTAGAATGTTAAAGCTGGTAGGAACCTTAGAATACTAGTCTGGCAGGCTTGCTTCACAGCTGAGCAAAGTGGGGGCAAGAGAGGTAAAGCGAGGTGAGTGGTGCTAAGCCACCACACACATACACTCAGGGAAGGGTGTTTGGGAATAGGGTGGTAACAAAGGGAACTTCCTCAGTAAATCTTTGTGGTGTCTCAATTTAGGCCTGCTACCTCTTGACCCCTTTTGTTGTCCTCAGGACCCCCGTGATGCCCCTCCTCCAACCCGAGCAGAGACGAGGGAGGAGAGGATGGAAAGAAAGGTATGTGACTGTTTGAACCTGGCGGGTAGCAGAAAGAGGAAGGAAGGAAGGAAACACAGGTTCTTCCTCCTGGAAGAGGGCCCCTTGTGGGGCCTCAGAGGGAAAGGTTGGGGTCTGTGTGAGGCAGAGGTCACGCCCAGCTGGGGGCCAGAAAAGGCTTCTGGGTCGGTCTTGGAGCCGAGCCGAGCCAAGCGAGGCCTTAGAGAATGGACAGCAGAGGAGGAAGGTCTGTGTTAAGGGGCCAGCTGGAGGAGGGAGGCTCACACCAGATGATGGAGTCTTGATGGGAGGGGGGGCATCAGGGATCTTCGGGGTCAAAAGAAGAGCTTTAGAAGAGGGCAGGTTTAAAGAAGACCACCGAGAGATCCAGGATGAGGAGGAAAGAGGAGACATCTGGCAGGGGACCAAGGGCCGAGGCGTGGCCCTGCTGCTGAGAGGACACCAGGTCATCCCCCTCCATGCCTGTTTCTTTTTCCCTTCCCACAGAGGCGGGAAAAGATTGAGCGGCGACAGCAGGAGGTGGAGACAGAGCTGAAAATGTGTACGTCAAAAGTCCCTGGCTCTTGGCCCCCCCATCCTCCAGTGTTCGCTCCTTTCTCTCGTCCGTGCCCACCCTGTCACATCATGCAGGATCCTGCTTCTCGTTGGGCCCTCGGGCTGGGGCGAAGCCTTCTCCTCAGCTCCGGCCGCTGACGTTTGACCCAAACAAAACCCAAAGCGCATCCTTCAGGAATCTATTTTCTGTCCCAGTCCCGTTCTCCTCTGTCATTCTCGGCCTGCACTCTAATGCTCTCTCTTTCTGCCTCACAGGGGACCCTCACAATGACCCCAATGCTCAGGGCGATGCTTTCAAAACTCTATTTGTGGCCCGAGTGGTGAGTGCCAACCTCTCCTACTTGTTGACAGGTGGGCGGGCAACGGATGGCCGGCTGGGTCTGGAATCGGGAGGACCTGACAGTTCTGGCTCCGTGGCCCGGGCAAGGCACTACGCTCCTTGCCTGCCTTAGTTTTTTCATCTGTAACATGGGATAATTACAGCACTAGAGACTGGAAATACTTTACACGTAAATGCTGCCTGTTCTTCTTCTTGTCGGGGCCATGGGAGTGTGGGGAAAGAAGCGAGTACGCTTTGGTGGCGCGGCCTAACTTTTTGTCTTTCGTAGAACTATGACACGACAGAATCGAAACTCCGGAGAGAGTTCGAGGTGTATGGTCCCATCAAGAGGGTGAGTGGCCTGTGAGTGGGGGCTGGGGTGTGGGCTTCTAGCAGGGCGCTGACCCTCGTCGCCACTCGTGTGTGCAGATCCACATGGTCTACAGCAAGCGGTCAGGGAAGCCCCGGGGCTACGCCTTCATCGAGTACGAGCACGAACGGGACATGCACTGTGAGTGTCTCCCTCCTTGTCACCTCCTTCCCGTCCCTGCCCTTCCGTACCCCCCTCACTTCCTCACATCAACACTCATTCCTTATTTTTCCTCTGTCTCTTATATATCTTTTTTTATATATATTTTAAAAAAACCAAAACTCCCCTCAACGTGTGTGTGTGTGCGCCCGGGGGGCCGGGAGAGGTAAGTGCCACACGTTGACTCTCAGAGGGATGGAGGTAGCCCGGTGGCGGGACTGGGTGAAGGCCGGAGGGGAGGGGAGGGGGCTCGGCTGGGGGGCCGGAGGGGCTTTGGGGGCCGGGCTTGGAGCCCTGGCCTGCCTTGCCTTCTCTGCCTCACCTCCCTGTGGCCTTGGCGGGGAGCCCTCGGTCGCCCCCCCCCCTCCCCCCCCCCCCCCCCCCCCCTCCCCTGCCCCCCAGCAGGGATGCCTTGGGTGGGCGGGGGCCACGCTCAGTGGCCGTGTCTCTGGGTTTTGTCTGTGTCTCCTCGATTTCGGCCTGACGTGGTTTAAAAGCCCCCAAAGGGAGATTTGTCCTGTGGGGGTGGTGGTGAGGGGGTGTGGCGTGTGGAGGGGCCGGCGTATTAATTATATGTTCTTATTATTGTCACTGCAGCCACCACGCAGCTGGCTTGCAGCTGATGCTAACGCTCCCCTTACAACATCTCATTTTATGGTTGGTATAAGGGTTTGTATCATGGGTAAGATCACTCGCCACAGCACACCAGCCTAGCTTAGTCAGGCAGCTTAGGAACAGAAAGGCCCCCCTCCCTGGCCCCCTCCTCTGACCCCATTCCCCAGCCCCCTGAACTCCTGGCCCCACTCCCCCCTCCCCCTGGCCTCCAGTTGCCCAATTGTTGGGCAGGGGCAGAGGAGGCTGGAGGAGGGGGGGGGAGCAGGGAAAAGGCAAACTTCCCATGGAAGGGCCTTGGGGGAAGGGCCTTCTTACCCTTCCCCTCCCTCTTTCATCCTCTCCAGGCTCCTGCTCTGCCTCTCTGGAGGTCAGGAGGCAGGGTGAGCCAGGGCAGTGTTTCCAAGCATCTCTCCTGCTAGGGGCTGGGCCTATGCCAACCTCACAGGCTCTAGAGATGCTGTTTTTAGGGGTGGTGGGAATGGCTGTCTGGGAGTGAGGCAGGCTACTGCCCCCTCCCTGCCCAGGAAGAACAGAGGTCGTGGGTCTAGGGGGCTTCTTTTGGGGTACAGGCTGAGCCTTCCCTTGCTGCCCCACTCCCTCCTGGGCCTAGGGCCTTGGGTGCATAGCATTCTGCCCCTGCACGGAATTGGGGGGAGGCCAACAGGTCAGTTGTGTTGTGACCTTCAATTCAACTCCTGTCCCCTTGTGGAATTTGAGAGAGCGAGAGAGAGAGAGAGAGAGAGACAGATGCTGAGTAAATGGCATAGATACACATCTCCCTTTGTTTTCGCTGTCTCCCCTGGTCTGGGCTTTTCTGGGTTCTTGTGCGCTGAGCTAGACTTGGGTCCTTGGGGCTTCTGAGGAGAGGATGTCCTGAGTTCCTGCTCCGTCCCTAGTCGGGGGCCAGGTGTCCCTTTCTTCTCCCCAGAGCCATGTTAGCCACTGTCTAGATCCTTTTTTCCCCTCCCCCCTTCCTAGCACCCTAGTTTGGGGGGGCCTTGTGCTAATATCCTGTGTAGGAGACAGACTGCCTGGTTTTGTTGTGATTTTGGGGGTAGAGATGGGGCTTGGCAAGTTTTTGAAGTCCAGTCTCCGGGCCTTTTGCTCTGGATGACTTTCTAAAATTCCTCCCTGCTCCCCTCAGAAATTCTCCCTCTCTAGCGAGTCACCCTCGGGGCCATCCCTGCCTCCCCCTGTCTCCAGGTGGTGAGGTGTGCTTGACATACTCATAGCTGACACTGCTTCTCTGCCCCCCATTCCACCCTTGTAGCATAGCTGCCCTGGTGGGTGGGGGGTGGCAAGGGGGGACCATGCGCGCGCTAAGGGTGCAGGTAAGCATGGGGGCTCCAGGTAAGCTGCCCTGTGTCCCCCCCCCGGGAAGCCTCCTCCTCGCCAGGCCCCTCAGGAGGACCGAGCCCCCCCCATCCCGCTCGGTTTGGTCGGACACTCGCAAAGCCGGCATTGGTAAATTGCACCTTTTCTCTTCCTCTGTTGTTATTTTTGGGGGTTGGGGGGTGGGGGAGGGGTAGGGAAGCTAGTGGGGGGTGGGTGGCTGGCTGGTCAGGGAGGGACCAGAATGGGGCACCTTGGAGCTGCCCTTTCCCCATGCCGCTTGTGGCAGCAGATGCCCACTTGGAAGGGAGTGGTGAGGTTTGGGAGCCAGAAACCTGGTTCCATGCCAGGGGGTGGGATTGTTAAGAGGCTTGAGGGCCACCAGGTAAGGCAGGGTGGAATCGCATCCATCGCACGTCTTCCCCTCCCACCTCCCATCTGGGAGGGGCCCAGACCAGGGCCCCCTCAGTCCCCAGAGCCCATAGCTCTCCTCTTTGGCCCCAGCTGCCTTTCCACGCTCTGGACTTCCTCCCCTCCTCTTCTCACTGTTGGCTCTGGTCTCTGTTCCCTCCTGACAGACTGATTGCTGTAACTGGGGGAAAAGGAGGGGCGGTGCTGAGCTGGGCATCTCGCCCTTGCTGCCTGCTGCAGGTTGCATGTCAGGGACCTGTCTCTGTGGCTCGGGCGGGCCCAGTCGTGGCCTCGGCCCCCATCCCCGAAGAGACCAGCACTCATTTAACTTTTTTTCCTTTGCAGCAGCGTTTCTTGGCAGGGCCGGGAGGGGGCTGCTCCGTCGTGGGGATAGGGGGAGATGGGCAGGGGATGGGCACACTTGCCCCCACCCCGGTGAGGATTGGGGGTGGGTGGAAGGAAGGGGATCCGATGGAGCAGGCCCTTCCACCCCAGGGATTGGGGGCTGGGTGGATGGAGATGTCTGGCTGTCAAGTTGCCTGGCTCGCTGGTAGGCGTGTGTTTTGTGTGTGTGTGTGTGTGTGCGTGTGCGTGTGTATGTGTGTGCGTGTGTGTGTGTGCGTGCGCGCCTTGGTTGGGGAGGACAGAAGGGATGCCAGGGTCTCAGGCCTGGTCCTGATAAGAGGCTCCCCTCCCCCCGGGGACCCGTCTCTGCCCCCTCCTCTGTTACAGCGGCTTACAAACATGCAGACGGCAAGAAGATCGATGGTAGGCGGGTGCTGGTTGATGTGGAGAGAGGCCGTACCGTGAAGGGCTGGAGGCCTCGCAGGCTTGGTGAGTGGGCAGGCTTCCTCAGGCCACGGGGTTGTCAGCGTTGGGGCTGTGCCTCTCCCGTACGCCTTCTGTCTGGGTGGGTGGCCGTGGGTCGGTCCCCGGGCACTGTGGTCTGTGCTGTTCTTCCCCGAGTCATGCCCTCATGTGCGTGTGCGCACGTCTGTCTCCTCAGGGGGCGGCCTTGGGGGCACCAGGCGAGGGGGGGCCGATGTCAACATCCGGCACTCGGGCCGCGACGATACTTCGCGTTACGATGAGAGGTGAGGGAGTTTTTGAGCTGGCGGAGCCTGGCTTTCCTTGTGAGCGTCCACATCTTCTTCTTTGGGGCCCTGGGAAAGGAGTGACCGTTCTTAGGCTCGTTTCTGCTTTGTCTCTCTTGGCCTTGTCCTCCAAGGGACCGGGACCGGGAACGTGAGCGGGAGCGCCGCGAGCGAAGCCGCGAGCGAGACAAGGAGCGGGACCGTCGGCGTTCGAGGTCCCGGGACCGGCGACGGCGCTCCAGAAGCCGGGAGAAGGAGGAGCGGAGACGCTCGCGAGAGAGAAGTAAGGACAAGGACCGCGAGCGGAAGCGCCGCAGCAGTCGCAGTCGAGAGCGGGCTCGGAGAGAGCGCGAGCGCAAGGAGGAGCCTCGGGGCGGGGAGGGCCCTGAGCCCCCCGAGGCGGGCGATGCGCCCCCTGATGATGGCCCCCTGGGGGAGCCTGGCCCCGATGGACCCGATGCCCCGGAGGAGAAGGGCCGGGATCGGGACCGCGACCGACGCCGCAGCCACCGGGGGGAGAGGGAGCGGCGGCGGGACCGGGATAGAGATCGCGAGCACAAGCGAGGTGACCGGGGTGAAAGGCGGGACGAGGCCCCCCGTGGTGGGGGTGGCGGCGGCGGTGGCGGCGGCGGTCAGGACAACGGGCTCGAAGGGCTCGGGGCTGATGGGCGGGACCTCTATCTGGAGGCCGATGCTGGCGACGGCTATCTGGCTCCCGAGAATGGCTACCTGATGGAGCCGGCGCCAGAGTGAGCGAGACAGACAGCGGTGACCACCATCCCTCCCCCCAAAGAAAAATTTACAAAAGACCACCACCCCTTTCTCTCCCAATCACGTGAATGTGTGTCTGCCCCTGTCCCCCCCAAGGCATCCTCTGTCCAGACCCTTCTGATTATTCAATAAAATGGATTTCCTGCGGAGGTTGCTCGGGTGGTATTTTGGAGGAGCTCTTTTCCCCCATCTGACCCTTGGGCACAAGCCTGGACTGTGACTCAGAGGCCTCGGCTTGGAGTCTTCGCGTAGGATCTTGGTCAGATCTCCAAGTCATTCAGCTTGTGTGGGTTGGTAACAGGAGCAGGATGAGGTGAGGCCCTGCTCCCCGAGGGCTCTTCTGGCTCGCCCGAGCCGGGCTGGGTGGGGTGGGGGGCATGGCGACTGTGCTGCCACCTCCTGGACCTGGACGGGGTGGCGGGGACTTAGCTTCAGAACGATTCATGTGAAAAGGGAATCTTCAGAAAGGGGAAGAGGAGGGGAGGAAGTTGGAAAAGACAATGGTCTTCACTTAGATTAAAGGGATTGTTGCTGAACATTTAGAAAAGGAAGCAGGGCGTGCCAGACCAGCTTCCTTCAGTTGTTTGGGGGTTTTTTGTTTTTGTTTTTTTGTTTGTTTTAATAGATGGCAAGTCTGGGGAATGCTATTGATGTAGCCTAAGTATTAGCTAGGAAAACAGAGTGTTTGTCAGTCACGCAGTAAGTCCTTGTGACAAGATGGGGAAGCAAGGACTGGATGATGGTAGAATTCAATCCGTTTAGAGATGGTTTTATGGCAGAGCTCAGCAAACCAGTCACCAGTAGTTTGATGTCAATGTGGGAGGTCTCCAGTGTGATGCCCCTGGGATCTGTATGTGGCCTTGTGCTGTTTAATATTTTTTTAAATAAAATTTTATTGATATGTTTGGTTTTTAACATTGCCTAAATTTCTCCTTGTATCCCCTGCACCCCCCGTCCCCTCGAGAGCTTTCTCATGCAACAACGAATGTACACAATCAGCAAAACCTAGCTATCCATTAAAGAAATGTGAAGATACAAGTAATATTCCACACCTTCTTCCAGAAGTGTCTTCTTATATCTCTTTGGGGCCATGCTCGTTCTTTGTAGTTGTGCAACATACGTGTTCAGCTCAACGTTTTTATCAATGACTTGCACGAGGCGGAAAAAGCATTCTTATCCAGTTATCAAATGGCGCCAAGCTGGAAAGGGATGGCTTCACATGTTGAGTGGGACTACCTTGGGATAGCCAAGGAATCCTGCCTAATTCTGGGATTCGTTAAGGGTCTGGAATGAGGAAGACAGAAATAACCCTGACATCTCTGGTTCGGGCATCTGGTGTGTTGTGTTTGTTTCTGGTCCCCGTGGTGGAAGAAGGACTGTGAAAAAAAAGTTGAGCCAAGTGGCAGGAAAGGGGCTTAAGACGGGGCCAGCTGAGGAATTGCTTTCATTCCCTGAGGGCAAATCTGGGAGCAGTGGGCGTGAGGTGGCCTCCCCTCCTGGTCACTGAGGACCTTCCAGCTCTGAAGTCATGTCTGACCTGAGGGGAGGTCACTCTTGATGGGCACACTGGAAGTCAGTGTGTCATGGTGGGTGGGGTGGAATGTGGCATCCCAAAGAGCTAGAGAATGGGAAGAGTCTGAGAGGGAGACCAGACCTTGGGTGTTCTCCAGCCCAGCCCCTCTATAGATGGCTTCACCTAGTGGCTAGAGGACCACTGGTTGCATGTCACAGGGGGTTCTTTCTCAGGGGTTAGGCTAGACTCTCAGATCTCTTTTTAGGCAAGCCTCTGGGAACAATTCCTCACACCCTTGGTCTTCCCCCCACCGTGGTGCTGTCACTGTCCCCTGCAGAAGTTCAGAATTGGAAGGGCCCAAAGCCACCGCTCGAGAGCCGCCAGTGGGACTGGGGGAGATGGGGGACCACTGCCTCCAGAGGTGATCCCGTGTTAGGCTCTTCTCGGTAGGTTAGGATGACCATGCTTCTTGACCACACACTTCCAGCCTCCGCAGGCACAATGAAGCTAATCTCTTCCTCTAGCGGCCCTTCAGATATCTGAAGACAGATGGCACAGCTCCCGTCTCCCTTCACCCAGTATTAGGACCCCACCTGACTCTGCTCTTGGAGGTTTTCCAGGACGAAGGACGCCTGGATTACTCTGTGCTTGTGCCTGGACGCTCGCCAAACTCCAGATTTTTAAGGAAAAGTTCCTGGTGCCAGTCATCCCTGTCCCGCCTGTGTGTGTGAAGTGGGTATTTTTTAACTCGGGTATAAGATTTTAAGTATTGCAGCCTGCCAAGATCCCCTTTGAATCTTGACTCAACATGTTGTCTCCCTCCAGGTGTTTTGCCAGCTGCAGATTCGTTAAGCAAGCCTTCATGTTGACAAAGGTGGCGGGTCTTGGGTTTCCTACTCGGGCAGCTGGTGTCTGCCCTTGGGAAGAGGCAAGGTGTCTTGCTGCCCACGGCGGGAGCTCGAGAAGAGAAGGGGCCGTCTTGTGCTGTTCGTTTATATTTGGGTTTGTTGCTTCCCAAAGTAACGTACAGTCTCATCTTTGAAGCCAAAGAATTTTTATTAGGAAAAGAAAATAGAAGCTTTCAGCTGAACAGCCCACGGGATATTGGGAAGTTTGCCACTACAAATGCGGGCTCTAGTAAGAGGTGTGCCGCCTGCATGTGGTGGTGAAAGGAGCACACGAGGAGGGTGATCTTGTCATTCTCGGGGAGAATTCTGCGTAGTTGTCCCAGCTGGACTGGTTGAGATTTGGGTTGCTTGCCCTTGCTGTCTGGCCTGCTTCAGGCCATGGCAGGGCCCTGGCGCTGCTTGGAGACGTCACGGTTTGGCCAGTGGTCGCTTGTGTGGATCCTGCAGTATGTCTGGGGCAGGACTTCTCTCTTGGTCAGGAAGACTGTCAGAGAGTGGGCGAAAAGAGCTGAGTGTGGGACACACCCAAATGGATCTCCCACGCGGAGAGTTTGGTCAGGATGGTCACTCAGAGAAAGGGGCAGACAAGGAGGGAAGTGAGGGGGGAGGGCGGACATAGGACTCCATGTTGTAGATCCTTGGTTATGGCTGGGAGAATCCCTCCTGATGGGGTGTGGCAGCTTGTGCAGGATGACCCAGGGAGCAGAAAACGGGGCCTTCCGAGCCACTCCTCATCGGGCAGCCCTGACTCAGATATTCAAATGCTTCTGCATTCTCAACAGTTTGTGTCTTGCCTTCAGTGATGCAGCTCACGCCCATCTGTGCCTGACCTGACCATTCCGTTCCCCAATTAGCCATCTCCTGCCTTAAATTTGCCGTCAGGGGTCAGTCTTCCGGGGAGCCAGAGGAGAGACGGGAAAACACCCGTCCTCCTCCTTGAAGAGGTGAGGGATTATGGACCTCAGGCTTGGCCATTGGGTTGGTGAGGTTGACTGGGCTATTTTTTTCTCTGTTATTCTGGGGGCACGGGTCATTGGCTGAGGAGGCGAGACGTATTGGGAAACAGATGGCTGTAGAAACAAAAGGCATGAATACTGCTTTTTTTTTAAATTTAGTTTTCAACACTCACTTCCATAAGATTTTGAGTTTTAAATTTTTCTCCCCCTCCTTTTCCTCCCCGCCCAGACGGCGTGCAGTCTGATACAGGTTCTACTTATACATTCATATTAAGCATATTTTCCCATTAGTTATGATGTAAAGAACAATTAGAACTAATGAGAGGAACGATGAGAATGAAGCAATAAAACGAAACAACAGAGGAAAAGGAGAGCAAATAGTCTGCTTCGCTCTGCATTCAGACCCCATAGCTCTCTCTCTGGATGTGGATAGCATTTTCTGGAGATGTCTCAGATCTTCACATTGCCGAGAGGAGCCAAGTCTAACAAAGTCAGTCATGGAACAGTAGGGCTGTTACTATGTACAATGTTCTCCTGGTTCTGCTCATTTTACTCTGAACACTGCTTTTTTAAAAAGCCCATTCTGGGGGCAGCTAGGTGGCGCAGTGGATAGAGCACCGGGCCTGGAGTCAGGACCTGAGTTCAAATCCGGCCTCAGACACATAACACTTTCTAGCTGTGTGACTGTGGGTAAGTCACTTAACCCTATTGCCTAGGCAAAAAAACAAAAAACAAAACACACACAAAAACAAAAACAGAAAAAAAAAAGCCATTCTGGAGGACGCTATCCTCTGATCTGTAACCTGAAGAAGGAAACAGAGGGCAGCCAGGAACAACTTCCCTCTCAGTCCACCTGGACACCCTTAACGTAGTTCCCTCTGTTCCTCTACTGATAATGGCCATCTTCTGCTCCTGAGTGGGAGAAGGGAAAAATCCTCCCACCCTTCCTGTTGGACCACAAGTCTGAGGGGTAAAGGACAGAAAAAACGAAAGCAACACACCATCTCCTTCTTTGCTTTTATTTTATTTTTAAATTAAAATTTATTTTCAAAGGAAGATCTCTCTCTCTCCCTCTGTCTCTCTGTCTCTCTGTCTCTCTCTCTCTCTCTCTGTCCTCCCACCCCCACCTCACCATTGGGAAAGCAAGAAAAACAAAGCCTCTCACAAAAATGTATAGTCAAACAAAATAAATTCCCACGTCGGCCATTGTCTGTCTATCTGTCTAATTTTAACTCTCACAGCTTGCTTCTTTTGGACTATGGGGAAAAGCAGCTTCTTCTGATCATCCTCCAAGAGTGGTTTCTTACCCTCTTGCAGGCAGCCCACGTCCCTGGAGATCAATGAGAGGCATTCCTTGTGGTCTCCCAGCCAAGGACCAGGGTGCGTGTATGTGACTGTCCTTGGTCAAAGTACGCTCTTGTCATTCCACCAAATTGAGAGATCCAAGAGAGGTCAGGAGTCACCCTGATCATCCCCGCCCCCCCCCCCCAGCCCTTACATGTAGGATGAACATGTGGGTGCAGGGGCAAGTCAAGGTTGACTTCGAGGTTGTGCACCTAGATGAGTAGTGGTATTGCCAACAGAAATAGAAGGAGAAGGGATGGGTTTGGAGCCAGAGTCTGATTTGGAGTAAGTTGAGTTTGAGGCACCAGTGGGACAATCCAGGTTGTCCAAGAAATTCATAAACCAGGACTGGAGTTAGGAGAGAAATATGAGCTGAAGACATAGATTTGAAAATCATCTTCATTGAGATGAACATGGAAGCCAATGAGAGCCCTAAGCGTTCCATAAAGTGTCAAGAAGGGAGAGGAGAAGGCCCAGGATGGAGCCTTTGAGAGATGTCCACACTAACAGGTGGAAACTGGAGAATGACCTGGCAAAGGAGTTGGGAAAGAAGCCCTTCGAAAGGTAGGAGAACCGAGAAAGTGGTGTGTTGGGCGTCATGGGAGGAGAGAGTGTCCAGGAGCAGAGACCAGTCAACAGCTGTCAAGCAGAAAAGGGACTGGGAAAAAGCCATTAAGAGATCATTGGTATCTCCTCCTGGAGAGTGGGTTCTGCAGTTGTGCATCCTTTGTTTTCAAAGAGGACCAATGACGTCATGGGTGATGTCTTGATTTGCTCATGAATTAGATTTAAGCCAGGCAGGGCCGGGCAAAGTCATCGGCTTCACTCTTTCTTCCAGAATCATCAAAGTCCAGAGACAGGACAAGAGTCAGGATGATGTGGATAGCCCAGGTTGCAGCGGATGACCTCGTCATGGCGTTTTCACTGTCTGACCAAGCTCTAAGCGCTCTGCGGTGCCTGCTTCAGCCAGCTTCATGGCCTGGGGAGCAGACTGTTCTCATCTGCCCATTGCACTGGGGGGAAGTCTTCACACGCTTGGGGTAGACTTCCCCCACCAATGGGTTTGAAGTCTATCTGCTTTGGCCTGTCTATGAGACAGTACTGCACATACCACAGCTTCTTTCTTGGAGCCGTGGATGAGGGCTGGGTGACAGGTGGACACTAAAGGTGGATGAAGAGCCCTGAGAAGGGCTC